TTTAAAACTTCTGTAATGCTACACAGCAGTGACCTTATACTTTTGTATGATGCCTCTTTTTCTAATGGATATTAATGTCAGATGGATATTTTCCAGTGTGTTTACATTCTTTAGTGTTTTTCTACTGGTGAGGGATCCTACAGAACGTAAATAAAACACACAGCACTTTTAAAAAGTGGCATAGTGAGAGTCTGTGGTGAATGGCTGGTCTAAGTGATCTTCCAGGTATGGTCATGGACATTTTAAGGTCAATTGGTAAGGGCTGTGTTGTTCTCCATTGGAATTATCCTAAATTTAGAGTGCTTCTTATATTTCAGATATAGAATTAGCACTGCTGCAGATTGGTGGCTAAACAACAAACTTGTTTGCTTTAAGCTGGATTTCCTCTGCCCTGCCTGGTGACCTACTTGCCACAAGCAGTGTTGCTGACTTCATGTGCACCACAGGCCTCAGCTCATTTCTGAAGTGAGGAAAATGTTTCAAAGTTTAGCAGGGGAGGAGGAAATTACGGGGCGCACTTAAAGTCAGATTAAGTTGAAAGAACTAATTGTGGCACGACTGCTGACACGGTGATGGCCCAGGGTTTCTGAGACCCGCCTTCAGCCTCCTTATCCCTCGCTGATGATTGTGTCCATGGCAACGAGCTTCTTCTTGATACCTAGCTGAGAGTGTAGAGGAAGCATGAAAAACAATTTGCCAGTATTTGGCTACCACCTACTGAGCTGTAAATCCTCTCCGCCATGTTACGTTTCTAAATGCATTTGTTTATCTTGTCTTGTCTTTTTTTTTTTTTAATAAAAACTAGGCCACACACTGTTTTCACTGTGCAAACATGAGTCATAACCAACAAATTCATTAGCACAGGAAAATTTGTTATAGCCTACTTTTGTCCACTCCACCCGTTGTTCTCCCAGAGAGGGACAGAGCATTCTTTGTCCCGCTGATAAGGTCGAGAGTTTTTCGCATCTCGCTGTTGTCAGCTCTCCCGCTTCTTCTTTATCTGTGCGCTGTCCAGCTCAGTCCAGGTTTGCTTTACTTTCATAATGAAATGTCTTTATGTCTCCCAGGGTTGAGTTAGATTTCCTGTTGATGGGAGAAGTGGTAAAGCATTTGAATGATTGTTGAGTGTATGACACATCTTTCCTGATCCCACTTGACACTTCACAAAATGTTTAGAAAAATTGAATTGGAATAAACAGTGACTCATACGACTGAAGGCGAGCAGGTTTACTTGTGGCTTCCAGCTTCTTCCTCCATGCTCTTGTCCCTTATCTGAAAACAACGGTCATCACACAGCTAACATACCCCTTCTTTAGCCTGTAGCAAGATGTCAGCCAAGTACAATATTTGTACGAGTGTGTAGACACATGTTTTAGCAGCTTAGCACAAAAGAGAATATAATGTTCATTTCATAATCTTAACAAATTGACCCCTTATCTGTCCCAGTATGTTGAAAGGAGGTCTCAGCTCTGGGGTATCATATTCTGTTTTGCTTTATTGCAAATTTCCTGTATTGGTTTTGCTATTTCAGTTTGGAGTTTTTATCCAATAATCTCACCACTCCCTCGTTGATTTCATTTTATGGGAATTCCATGAAACCTGAGAATGGGTGAGCAACACAGGATGAGGTTTAGAAAATGTTATTCTTAGTGATGCAGTACATATGAAAACAGCTTTGGCCTCCTCACACTCAGCTTCGCAAGAGCAGAGCCGACAGCCCTTAAGTATTTTGGCTCTCTCCTAAGGACCAGTATGCATTCCACTTAACTGCACACACATGACACAAGTCATCCTCAGTGAAACACTCAACACTGGTGGAAGATTTGAGATAGAGCTGCACCACCAAATCTACTTCACTGTCATTATAATGTCACATGGAGTCTTGGGGTTAACAATAAATGAGTGATCTTGAGCACTGAGGGGAATCAGGCGACGACCTACTGTAACAACATAAAGTCTGTTGGTTTGTGACTCCACTGTATAGTGAACAAATAAACCCCCCACAGCCTGCTTCCTCTCACCAACACCGTTTTCTCAGAAGGAGGAAGCTTAAGGCTTTCATTTATCTTTTGAGATTTTCTCACAGCAAAAGAAGAAGTACTAACGTTTTACTTTTGGTCCTAATGTTACCTCTTTGGGCATTCCCTGTAATCAATGACATTTAGAGGCATTTTTTTCATATGAATGAAAACAGAAGCTCCTTCTGTAGTCTAACTCGTGATTCTTCTGGCCATGACTCCAGGTCTGGCGATATCTGCTTGTCCATCATTTTGGTCCAAACTGAAATATCCGTCTGATGGATTGTCATGAAATTGTGTAGATACAATCTGGTGATCCCCTGACTTTTCTCCTAGGCGAGTTGGAGGTTTTAACTTTTAGTGAAACAACTACTGGATGAATTGCCATGCAACTGGGTTTAGACAGTCATGTTCCCGTCAGGATGAATTATAATAACTTCAGTGATCTTCCGACTTTCTATCTACTGCCACCATCAACTCAAAATTTCAATATTGTCCAATACTTTTGTTTATGCCTACATACCTGCTCCGTTAATGACACTCTGAGTTGTAGTTTGTGGTTAGCACACTGTGAACGTGATAGACGTTATACAGTACTTGGATGTTAAAGGGACTATTTGTAAGTTTTCTCTGCTGCCGAACAAGTTTTTTTGCTCAGAGCGGGTGGTGGTGATCACATGACAAGAGTTTCAGCCACTGTTGTCTTTATACTACAAGAAGTTATAATATGTCCTTTGAGCAGCGTTACATCTTCAGGGCAGAATGGAGGCTACAGTGAGTCGCTATCGGAAAGTGACAAGACGGGCCAGAGCTAGCTTGTTAGTGAGCTACTTCAGTCGAAAAAAAGACGTGATAGAGACAAGAGTACTAACATTGGCGTTGCTTTGCTGAGTAAAGGAATAAAGTTTGATGCTGAACTTGCAACGTTTCTTCTAGACTGCTATGTAAACAGCTGTTAATGCTAACGTTGGCTATGTAGCAATGGTAAAACTTACAAATAGCTCATCTAACATTATCATTGTGAGCATGTGATCACCCTGGTACATGCTTGTAGACTTTTAATCTTGGTTTTGGTTTTTACCCATATTTCTAATGCAGCAAGAGTGACACCTCTTTCCAGAATTGGTTGTTTGATCCTTCGGGTGTTGCTGCATCATGCAAGCTAATCATGTCCTGGAAAAGATGAGTAAGAGGTCTGAGCTCTGTCGGTGCTACAGACAGACACAGGGTGGACAGCAGTCTGAGGCCCCAATGGGGCTTGAAGGATGAATACAGTCATAGGAGACAAAATCAACACCATAAGAAAAAAAAAAACAATGTAAAATCAACTTAATAGCTTTGGGATTGTTTTTATTATGTATCTCCTTTCTGCTGTTTGGTGGTGTGTCAACCTGAGAATTTCTGAGAGGTCAACAAACAGCACCAGAGGCAGCTGCAGGAGCCCTGAGACACATACTAAACATTCCCATTCTCGTGTGTCACCACCACCAGCTATCACAAGGGGCAGGCCTGCAGCCATGAGTCACTCACTGGACAGCAGTTATCAGTGTCAAATAACTTTTGTCCCCAGAATCGTGAGGTAAAAATGCTGCATCTCAAGAGAAGCGGTGGCATGTGTTTATGTTTGTGATATTTCCTCATTAGCAGGGTCCTTTTTTGTGTGTTGGGTTGTTATCACCCTGTGTGGACTAAATATCATGATGAATGGCTTTCTGGTTGATGTTTGGTCCGGTAGTTTGTCGTGACACGAAGCTTGTATTTCTTCTGCACACACAGTGCCATCTGTTGGCAGAAACAGCATCCTGCGTTCTTATCTGTGGCACTCCCAACACTGCATCATCTGGCTATTGTTTCCACTGATTACCGCTCAAATCTGTTTATCCAGAGTGACTTAAGGAAAGATGATAGTTTATTCTCGACTGCTGCTGATTAATGAGACTCATAGCGCAGATTCAAACCAGGATAAGATTCATTTTGTCTCAGGAAACACAAGGCCAGTAATCATCCTTTCATCCTTGGAAATGCTACTTCAACAGATGGCAGGAGTTATTTCAGGGTAACCCAGCCCACTGCATATAGCCAACCTCTCTCAGTTCAGTGGACTTTTTATAAGTAGAGAGGATGGTCCATTATCCCTCTGCACTGTCCACACCTAAATTAGTCTGAGTAAACTTAGATGCATGCAGATAAGAACGAGGAAACTGTAAGTAAGTGTGGGAAGCAGTCATATGCCACCTGGTGCTGATGTGTTAGAATTTGTCATGTCTTTCTTGCTAATATGACTTATTGTGTTTTTTTTGTGATGTTGTTAGCATTTGGCTGACTTTTGATGTTGTATTCCTCACCTTGTTCTCATAGACTTTGAAATGGTAAAATTTTTAGACAATATTATTTTTTTTTGACACATTAACTCCAAACAAAGACAATTTGAATGTCATGACATTGAGTTTTAACTCATAGGTAGTTAGTACTGTTTATAATAGCTGTTTATCACTGTGTTTTTTTCCAGAGTGGACAAGACATTCTCCAAGGCCAGAAGCTTATGGTGAGTTATTCTGTGTCTGTGTTCTTTGAAAATCTAAATTATGACACAAAAGCACTTAGAGACTAAATTGTCCTCTAAGTTGTAAATTGCCTAAAATTCATGGGTTTTTTCATTTAAGTAAACACTTTGGACTACAGTTCTCTCTGGAGTGGCGTTCAATGTCATTGCCTCAGACTGGCCTTGTAGGTGTTAAATGTGTGAATCAGTCAACTGAGTAGAATGTAACTAAGATGAATGTGCCAGTAAAAGGTAGAGCAGATGGGCAGCAGTGGGGAAACAGATACCCACTCCATCCTGCCATTTCTGCAGTGCTGGCAAGGTTGACGTACTGCTGTGTGTGGCACGTGCAGACAGGCAGGGAGCCGAGCATGCACACCTCCTGCCACTGCAGATAGACCGCTCTGTTTCTGAGAGCTATAGGTGTGGTGGCACGAGAGTCTGGCCCTCAACCCCCCCTCTCTGTCTGACTGCAGCAGGTTAAACAGTGCTTCGCTGCAGTATCATCGGCTCCTTCCCTCTGGAATACAGATACAGGGGGATCTCTTTTACCAGCCAGGCCTGCGTTACACAGCAATGACTGGGGCTTGTTTGCGGAGACTGCAGATTGACTGTCGGGCTACTACTGCAACAAACCGCACCTCACGGTAAAGGAGAAGACAAGCGATACTGGCGGGAAGTAAAGATGAAGAGGAGAATCTATAAGAGGATATAAAACAGCACAGGAGAGAAAAGACTTGTGGGCGTGAAGAGGAGGAAGAAGGATAAAGGAAGTGAGTGGATGAGGTGACGTGACAGGAAGAGAAAGAAGAGAATAGTGAAGTGTGATGTCTGCAAAACAAAATGCATGCAGTGTTCAACAGAGTCACATTTGATCTTCTCAGCCATGTTCAAACAAGGAGGAATTCCACAGCTTGATGAATTTGGAGGATCCTTCCCACTGTTAATAGAACTTGAATTACATCACATAATCATCTGTGTTCATGCTCAGCAGGACAGATCAATTTCTACAGCGCAAGTGGCATCAGATATTTCACAAACAGCTGTTTTTAGAGACGATTCTTTGCTATATTTAGCCTAAGGACAGAAGTTAGATTAAAAAAAAAAAAAAACTAAAAAATCTACAAACTTGGAGAGCCAAAGTCAAAATCTTCCTTCAGGTACTGTGTGTTGGACAGGATGTGACTGGAAATTAGAGCAGTGGGCTAAAATCTCCCGACAGCAAAACTTTAACAGAGCAACCCTGCAAAAATGCCGTGCTCCCCTTTCCGTATTGGAAGGCCAAAAAAATTCTGGTGAGTTTCCTCTTAACCTGCCTTAAGATAGTTTTGATGATAATTGCATGACCCTGCAAGGAAACGGAATAAGGATGTAATGCACCTGCCCAATGTGTGCACTCCTCCGAAACTGTCCCATGCCAATATTCAAGAAATGATTCATGAGGCCGAACTTTGTGTATCAGCAGTATACTAAGGATTATCTATATCATTTCATTATCCCACTTTTGCATTGATGCTTTGTTTGATCATTTAGAGGTAATACGTTGTCAAAACAATGTATATGTGCCCCGTGAGCGATGACACCCAATCTGCTTCATGTGTTTGATGTTTCGGTTTTTATCCCTCAACTCTTGTCGTTGATTAAATGTTAAATGATCATCTTCCATCCGGTCATTGTGGGTCATACACAATAAACAGATGATCCTCAAGCCACGTCTCGGCTCTCTGCGGGGAAGGCCTGTAATTGGTTGTAATCCTGTCTTGCTAAGCTCCCCTGATGGGTGGAAATAGGAGAGGAGGGTTTGTGTGGATAATGGCTATACTGAGATGTTGTATAAGAGCCTCTCTCTCTCTCTCTCTCTCTCTCTCTACTACACACATGGAAACATATATCCAGACACAAAGTGCACTCTGCCTCTTTGTCCCCGCAGCACGATGGATTATTGTGGCAGGCTGTCCATTGTATAACTTCCTGCCCATTCTTTGAAACAACTTGGCCACTGATCCCACAGCGTTATCCACCTGACCTTCATGCAGGACAGGTCTGCAGTTTTGAACCACTTTTTTTTCCACCAAGGAAGAATTCAGGCTAGATGTTTTAAAAACTTGAAAACTTGAAAAGAGCAAGGAACCTTTTCTCTAAACTATCACACTAATTTTGTATCTTGAAAAAAAATATGTGTTTTTATTAAGAGGATGGTTGTGTTGGTGTTGGTTCATGACCTCTGCCCTCTAGTGGCAAAAGGTGAGAACATGCATAGTGCAGGTGCATGTGTATAATTTAATAATTAAATAATAATAATAGTAATAATAATAATAATAATAATAATAATGAGGTTGGATTAACTGGCAAATGCAAAATCTCAGAGACTTTTCCTCATGTGGCAGTTTTGACAGTGTTCCTTTTTTCTTTCTTTTACAGTTTTTTCTCAGTAGATAATGGCAGTCCAAAAACAGGTTATTTTAATTCTGATGAATGACCTTGCTATTTATTCCAAATTGTGTGATGTGACTCCTCATTCTATTTTTATAAAGCTGTCTAAATTCTAGGCCTATTTCATCCTTTGTGTCCTGCCTCTGCCCATAAACACTTAAGAGGTGTCACTGTAAACACTCCTCTGTTTGTGTTCACTCATTTCCCATGAGATGTCACTCTGCATCGTCCTCAGTCTGTCTCGTCCGCACATGCGCTCACCCTGCTTCGTAAACACGAAGCCGGCCCGGGTGTCAGTTTGCTTGTGCACGCTCATCTGTGTACGTCAAGCTGAGTTGTCTGGAAAAGCGGACATAGTGGGATAGCAAACTGTCAAGCCCAATCAGGCTATACTGGCTCTCTGTGAGTCTCCTGCTGTCTAACTAAATATAGCGCCAAAGTGACAAGCTCGCCCCTGGTTCTACCCGTCTCAATAATCCAAATCCTAACATGTCATCCACCATCCCGCACCGGCACAAGATGCCTTAAAAAACATAAAGCTCAGATGACAGCAGACCGTTGAGACGAGTGCCTGGGAAACGTTGACTGGACATTTCTCTTTTATTTACTTTATCTGATTCTTGGAGCTTTTCTGTGGCAAAGTTGTTCTGCCAGCTTTTTTTTTTTTTATTATTTTCTATTTTTTCAAGGTTCACTCCTTTTCCTTCTGTTGCAGCTGCAGGATCTTCTGGTTTGGAAGACAGACAGGGCTTCAGGTATTGAAGAGGAAGCCGAGGTCTTTATTCCGTGTGTGTTTGTGAATGGGTATATCCCTGAGTATATATCTGGGGATGTGTGTAACCATTGTGGAGCCTGTTTATTGACGCTTGTCATGCAGAGGATGGTGTGTTAAGCCAGTGTGAGGAAAAGGGTTGAGTCCAGGATTTTATGTACTGTGCTCGCATGTTGCTTTTTCTCTCTCATGGGAGAGGAAATTCTTGCCTGGTCAAAATCTTTTGAACTGCTCTGTTGGTTGTTCTCATCTTGATTGATAGGAGGGACGTGCACTTCATCAAACCGTATACACCAGTGGCTCTAATACCAAACACAAAAGAGCTCAGAATGATCCCACGGTGACTTTCTGTTGTTGAAATGGCACATCTGCATTGCTGTGATTTCCCCAGGGGGCTTGTTTCCAAGGAAATCTGGACAGTGATATTGTGAGAGATAAGCAAGCCAGGAATCAGGAACTATTGGTGGAGTGGCCATGCTTTATTCAAAAAGACCTGCTGTGCCCGGCCTTTTAATGCATACTGAATATGGCCAGCTGTGAAGGGAGATGTGAGCTCCAGAGAACCCATAAAGGAATCTGCTCACGCGTCAGATCCCACAGGCATTTTATTATTTATAATTCCTAGCATGTAGCATTTGATTGTACAGCCCTTTTGTTAATTATTACCTTGAATACAGCCCGATGACATAAAAACATGCTCATATCTTCATGTGAAAACAGCCAGTGTTTTCTAGTGTCTTGATAAGAAAAGCTAAATAGGATTTCCATATCTGCCTGTTTGAATAAAAGGACTTTTAGAGGTACAGTTCCCTTGGGAACAAACAGCCTCTCGCACTTATCTGCTTTTTGAATTTTGTCCAGTATTTGCGTTTGCCTTGATTGTGGCAGCACTAACTTTTATGGTTGTAGGACAAAAGGCCCTGATGGTGCAGCGTTTTCCAAAACAGACTGGGGAAAGTCATGAAGTTGTTTTTTGTTGCTTCCCCCTGCCAGCCAAATGGAGACCGACTCAAAAGATTGTATAAATGTTATGTTAAATACTACATACATTTATCTAGCAGACGCTCCACCAAAATAAAAGACTTTTGAGAGGAAATCACATCTTTTCATCTGGAAAGATTGCCTTTGAGGGTCAAAGTGCAACCATATACACTCAAAAAAAAGTAACTGATGCAAGCGTCACTCAGAGAGATGGTTTCACAGCAGGGACAATCATCCTCCCGTTTGTGCTTCAGGTCAGCGTGAGGGGGTTGGGAGGGATGGGGCAGAGAACAGGGCAATTCCAGGGTCTATTTATGTGATAATTCACAGCACATGTGTTCCTTGTATCTCAGGCTGTTGGAGAACTGATGACAGGCAAGGCAGCAGGTGCTGCTACTTCATGATGAATTTGGGAAAATCGGAACAAGGAGACCGGCTCCTAATGTGTCAGCACTTCACTGTTATCATTGTAATATATGAAGACACAGGGGGAACAAGATCACGGAGCAGCATAGCTGAAGGTGCTGGTGTCCGACCGCTGAAGCTAAATTTCACACATTTTATCAACAGTCAACAGTATAAATAAATTATGTTTGGGGCTGTCGACAGCGCTTATAAATTAATTGAGGTCAAACCTGCGGTTAGGCGGTAAGTAGGTGGATGCTGACATGGAGGTGAAGTTATATTACTCAGACACCATGAGAAATATCCATTTTAATTTATTCCCGATACAGAATTTAACCTTTTATAAGTCACACCAGTGGCCTGGCTCTGGGGATGGCAATGTTGGTCACTACTTTGGTCCAGACTGAAATATCTCAACTATTGAGTGGATTGTGCTGAAATTTTGTATAGAGAAATGTACTGACTTTGGTGATCCTAGTGCCACTATGAGGTTCATGTTATTGGTTTTTAGTGAAATATCTTGACAACAATTGAATCGATTGCTGTAAAGTTTGGTACAGATACTCTGGGGTGCCCAGAAATTTTACCACCAGCAGGTTGGCATTTTTGTTTTATGGTGAAATGGGAGAAAAAATTGTTGGTTGAATTGCCCTGAAATTTAGTTCAGACAAATATAATACATTATGTTCCCCTCAGGATGAATTAATAGCCTTGTCCATCCCTTTACCTTTCAACTAGTGCCACCATCAGCATAAGTGAATATGGTAAACATTAGTTTAATTTAAATCAAGATTCAAAGGCTGGTATGACTCTGTCTCTGTTTAGTTGACCCACCAGCAGGGGAGAATCTACCGCGAGAAAAAGAGATTGTAGTTAACATCATCATAAACATGCTCATCTGTCATATCTGCTTTAAGGCCCCCCTCTCATGTTGCCCCATTACCCAGTTCAAAACAAGGCATTTAAAAAAAATGCTGCATGATTATCAAACCAGTTACAATCACGGTCACAGTGGGATTCAGGTGTACTGCAGAGAAATCATGGTGGGGATGTAAAGTTTCTTCAAAAGTTAGGAAGCAGTTGGCACTCCTACTTTGCCTTGCAAACAAAGCTTGGGCTTGATTAAACACAGCCAATTTGTTTAAGAGTGACTGGGGGCGGGTTTTAACAAATCTCAAAACAGCAGGAGAACGTTCAGACCCACTATGTCCAACACTCTAAAATCTTTCTATTGCTTTAATTGTTTTATTTACTTCAGTGATAAATCAAAACGATAGAAACATTTTCACTGTAAAACAAAGAGAGTGCACAGTCTGTGAAAAAAAAGTAAGATTCGTCCCTATTTAAAAATGACTAATATGTTTTTATAATGATTATTTGTTCCTTGTGTCTGTGGGAAAATGCAGTTTAAAGCGAGGACAGTAAAGTCTGCTGGAACGGTGACTTCATGTACAGTCACGAGAGAGCTCATAAATTCAGCGTTGTTTTGCAGTCAACTCCTGCGGCTGCAGTTCCCCGCCCCCCTGTCCCCTTCACCCCCCCCTCCATGAGGTCCACCACCGCTAATTAAATCTCAACCTGTGGGAGACACTCAGTGGTTATGCATAAATAACCATTCATTCATATTTCAGAGCAGCAGCCATCTTGCCTGCCGGAGACCTCTGACATGCTGCGGGTGTATAATGTGTCTGCGATTGGAGACCTGAACCTTGAACTGGCCTTTGTGGTCACTGGCTGGTCACACACTCAGCCTCCCACTCACACACACGTGATGCAGATTACGTTCTTTGCTGCTTGCTGCATGGGCTTATTTTGGATCTGAAGGAACTCTCACTTTTATTTGTATAAATTCAAATGTATTACTGAAACTTGACGAGCAATGGACACATAGTTGCTGACTCTTGATTTTTTTGCTCTAATCCTTCGGGAATTACAGGATCCAGGTAACTTTGGCCATTATTCCCGCTTGTGTCTCGAAGGGTGTAGTGTTATTATTTAACTTGTCTTGGGTGAGAAATAGCTGCTAAGAAGCTGAAATTGAGAGACTGTGGGAGATGGGGAAATTTCAGGACAGCAGCAATTCTCAGAGGACATGGTGTGAGGGCAGGAGGGGAGGGGGCCACAGGCCATTTCACCAGGCTAATGGGATGGGAATCCCTGGCAGCGGGGCCGGTCGGAAAGGGATTTACTGTGGGATTCTGCAGGAGACACTGGAGCAGGGAGGACACTATCAATTTAAAACCAACTATCCTCCTCCACACGAGATAAAAATAAAGCTCTTCGTGGCTCAGGATTTATTCTTGCTCTGCTGTTGTTGTGTTATTTCATCAGCATACAAGAGTCCTCAGTGAGGTCCCAGACTGTTGTTCTAAATGCATGTGGCTTTGATTTGATAGGAACCAGCTGCAATGGGCCATGTTAAAACGCCACTCGGTGCTAATCAGATTTTAAGCAGGACATTTAAGCGAAATCTGCCTGCTCTTATCCGATAATCTGTTTTCATCTATAAGCACTATTGACAAAGCCCTGACAGACATGTTCTTTTTTTTTTTTAACCCCTCACTTCCTGGTTCTCAGCTCTTCCAAACAAAACTGAACCCCATATATACCATCTGCAGCTCAGGGTTAGAGACTATTGTCTCATCACAGGAGGACGTCTCAACAAATCACTGCTAATCTGGTCATTGTTAAAGTTTTGTTCAGTGACATAATACAGTTTTTTTTACTAGTAAGCTTTGGACAGTGAGAGGATCATTTGGGTTTGTTTATCACAATACACAGCTCTTGATGGTGCACAGTATGAGGACTGTGCTGTAATCCCTTGTTATCTTTTCATGTCTGACACATACAGTACACACACACACACACACACACACACACACATACACACACACATGCACACAAATACACACGCATTTACTTTACTCCTAAGGTGTTCTCTGAGAAGCTGTCAAAGGAAAGCAAAGATGAGGCGACGCTCTCACTGCATTAGAGTATTATTTAGCAGGGATTTAACAGGAAAAGGCGCTACTAGTGACAGTAGTCACAGGTCTGCTGGGAACTGTAGATGGTAGCTTAGTGGAACGCACATGTTCACTGGGGATTGAATGAGACTCATTACAGTAATTAAAAACCGTTCCACACATGCTTTCTCACCCTGCACAATGAGCACAATGAGCATTAAGGAGGTTGTGATGTCTGTTCATCTTTGGGAGTGTAATAACCTTGTTCAAGTCATATCATAATGAACATGAATGTGCATGTAAGTGTTTGTTTTTTTTTTGTTTTGTTTTTTACATGTGTGGCTGATGTGGTTGCCACAACAACAGCCCCAGCTGGCTCGTGAGGCTGGATTGAAGGCAACCCCCGTTACCCTAATCCTCCCCGCTTTCCCTTCTCTTTCTGAGCGGCAGACTGAAGTTGTCCCCTAAATAAAGGGTGGGGGAGGGTCTCCTGCTTTCACGGCGATAAGCATGGTGTGCTGGTGGTCGGGGGTCGGTGTGTGGTTTAGAGTTCGGGGGTCTCGGACAAGTAGCCTACCGGATCATGTGTGTGTGAGGTTGAGAACAAGAGACATAGGGGATGCAGATGGAGGAAGTGACAATTGAAGAGCGCATATGTGTGAGAGAGAGAGTGAGTGGGAGGAGAGAGAGAGAGTGAGGGAGGAGAATCAACGGCAGAGAGGATGCTCACTGAGAGTGTGCGACGGTCCGAAGAGCTGAGAGTGAAGCCAGCAGGTGAGCGACTGATGGGAAGCAGCAAGTGAGCTGACTGGACTTGCAGAGAAAGAGAGAGAGAGAGAGAGAGAGAGAGAAGAGTGGACGGAGAGAGAAAGAGGGAGTGAGAGAGGAGATAACTGTGAACGAGAGAGGGAGAAGGAGGGGGAGAGAGGAAGTGAGACGCTTAAGTAGAAGAGAAGCGTAGACTGTGAGTCATCTGCCTGAGTGCTGGTCACTGTCCGGACTTCCCAGGGAGCACCCAGCGCACGGCTGCCTCTGTGTGAGTAAGTTTGCCGCTCCGCTCCACGCAGGACGTCAGGTCATCCACATGACACGCTGTGACTTCTTCACACAGCTGATTTCTGTGATGCGTTGCTAACCAGCTGGGGTGTGTTATGTAATTTGTTGTGGTGTTGGGATGAAGCCGTGGCTTAGTGCTGCAAACTGATCTGGAGGAGGGCTTACATGGTAAAGCTACACAGAGGAGGCAGGTGTAAGTAGTGCACCACATGAGGAGTTTGTAATGGACAGGACAGGACATTTCCTCCTTTGATGTGTTTGACTGCTGCTTATTCTTTGCCGGAGTGGGATATAGGTTTGTGTCTTGTCACCAGTTTATGCAAATTATTATTTACTATGTTTAGTACTGTATCACTCTGGGCACAACACATTAAGAGTCTTTTGTAATATAATGCAACATCTATCTTTAAACCAACTGTTAGAAAAGAAAGCATTTCCCTTCTCATAAATAAGTCAGTGTGTATGTCTTGTGTGTGCCCTGCATCCATCTATTGTGCATCAGCTCTAATTAAGAGTTCAGGGCAGCTGATGCCTTATCGTGTCCTGCTCTCCCACGGGAGAGCTGCTGCTGAGGCTCCTCACTTTGCCTTGTTCATGTTTATTGAACCAACTGAGAGAAAGGCTCGTAGTCACTATTGCTCCCGGTTACATTTGGATGATGCAGGACCTTTCCTTGATTGAAGATCCATTTGTTGTGTAATATCATTGGTTAATGATTCATGCTTCTCTTTTTATATTTGACTCACTGAGTAAGTCAGCGAACATGAAAATAGATTTCCGTCTTATCCTCAGCACCAGACCAACAGACCTCCATACATTCACTCATATAAATAAATGCTGTGTCAGTGTAGGCAGACTCATTTCACTACTTACCTTAGAAAATGATTCGTTTTTGAGTTCAAAGTCTCATTGAGTAATTAAATGCACTGAACAATATTTCTCTATACATGGAGTTTGATGCCTTTTGCCCCCCCCCCCCGAATACACAGCACTCTTTAGAGCACAGAGATACGAATCATATTTCACTATGGCTGCTGTAGTCTTCTTCGACCAACACAAACAGCAATATACATATTTCACTGTGCATCGTCGCAAAGCTTCATGACCATCTCAGGTCCACTTTCATACTGATCGATCACTTTGTGTATTTGAAAGAGATTGAATTAATCAAACAAATTGAAAGCCTGCTGTGCAAACCAGCCAGTTGTCAGTGTCAATAGGGCAGCATATTCAGCTTCGATCAGGGATCCTGTGGGGATAAAGCCATCCTGGTAGAGATATTGAGTTTAGAGCAAAGGATGCGTGACAGTAGTGTGGCGCAGTTTTTCATTTGCAGCGTGTTACTCTCTTGGGTTCGAGACAAGAGACGCTCTGTTTGAATAATTGTGAAACTAAAATCGTGCCCCTAGATCCCCGAGGTGTTGGTGATTAGCAGTTGATGCAGTAAAAGAATTGAAGAACCTCCACAGTGGAATATGATTTGACATCTTCTGGGAATTATTTTTCCAGTCAGATATAACTCGCATGTTCCTGCTCAGTTATGAGAGGGAAGATTTTGGACTTGACATGAATGAACTTTGAAGTGGGGAAAAGCATCTGGGCAGTAGGTTTAAGCCTCTATCACTACGGCAACTGCATATTAGACAAAACAGTCAATTCCCTGTGAGAAAATAAACCATAACTACAGTTCCTGACTCAACCAATTGCATCTGTTGTCTGCGTTTCAAAGTGTTTTAAAAATTTCACTAAAACTAAAACTTTTCACTTTCTAGAGACACATAAAAAGAACAGATCAGCAGCACTGAAGATCATTTAGTTAATGAAAAAAAAAAGAAAAGAATAACAAGAGACCCTCACTTTCTCGGCTTAAGGCCATTGCAGCGCCTCAGACCACCGGTCCATACAAATGAGACCAAGAATATTTCCTGAGGCATTAGCTTTTATTGTCCTCTTGCTCCGTCTCAGACTGAGTGACCTTTTCTGACTGAATCTTCTCTTGCATCTGTCTGATTGTAGGAAACATGATGGGAGTGACCCCCGGATTTCTACAACACTAGAGCCCCAGCTGTTCCAGCCTACACTCCCATACACCACCTCACCATTCCACAAGGTAGGAGGAGAACGAGGGGGTGGAGTTGAGTTTACACTTTAACCCCTGACCTTATCGCGTGGACCTCTGTGTGACCTTTGTTTCTGTGATCTTTGTCAGGGGTCTCTGCTCATCTTGTCTCTACACCTGCTTCTGTCCGAATGCACTCGCACGGTGCTCTGTCTGTATTTAATCTCTCATGACTGTATTAGACCCGGACTTTCTCCATACAGTGTTACTTTGATTCTTATTCTTGTCTTCTTTTGTTTGACTTGTGTAATTAGAGTGCACAGAGCTCCGTGTCTTGGATAATTATGTTTGCCTGATTCAATTAATAGAAATCTATTTTTAGCTTTTATTCTGACAATTTCTCAACCGCAGCCTAACAAGTCTGACTCCATCAAAGCAAACAAAACACAGCATGTCTGAGCAAGTGTCGTTCTTAAACCGAAAAGGCAAACTTCTTCGCCCCCATGATCATCCAGGATGTGTCACCAAATTGGAGAATTGGTAGGTTCAATTGTTATCCAGCTGTTTTTATGTCATCATCCTAAAGAAGGAGCCAGCTTTACTTCAGTGTCAGTAAAAAATAATCAACCTGAAATCTTTTTTCAGGATTTTTATAAAGACAAGCTCAAATTTGCTGGTTTCTGCTTCCAAAGTGTATTTTTTAGCTTGCGATACATTTTCTGCCTCAGACTTTATACGATTCACTGCAAGAGGGTCTCACTCAATTAGTCTCCAGTTCACTAAAACAGTTTTAATGATTTTTCTGAGATTTTCAGTATTTATGAAGCAGCTCTGTTATTCTTCCTCTGCAGTGGAAAACATAAGAGGAAAGTGCAAGCTGTGATTTTAGACGCAAAATATAAAGGCTAGAAAATGAATTTGATTGAGGAGGAAATCATTTCAATCCATTTGGGCTGCCACAGCCTCTATCAAGTCCATCTTGCTGTCAGAATCTTCATGCCTACCTTTGGCATGTCTTATCATTATAAATGAGCCACTGGCCTGAAAAACCTGCCAGGGATATTTTGAGAACTTAGAGACTGAACAAAGCTGCGCTCTGTGGTGATTAAAAAGTGGATACAATCTCACTCATGCCAGATTGGTTTCATAAGGTCTCTCACACTTTGGACGGGGGGCTTAAACTTCCCCTCAATCTGACTTGATCTGAGTAGAGCAGAGGGAGTTGGAAGAGAAAGGGATTAAAGGAGAATTTGGAGAATGGGTTGTTTAACTGTCACTCCTGATCCCTGCAGCACACACCATCTGTAGGTGCCTCAGACTTACTAGTTGCAGCTAGTCAGACATGAGGAGAGGATTTGTGACACTTGTGTGCGCCTGCAGATTTCCATGACATGGAAGCCAAATATAGCCAGTAAAGGCACCGCTGAATTCATGGATCATAGCATTTTACCCTGTTTTTCTGCACATCCTAGAGGAGTAAGAGCGGGAAAAATGTATTAAATGTGGATTTTATAGTCAGACAGATGAAAACACTTGACTTTCCTGCACTTTAAAGGGTGTCAGCAGCAGTTTAAATACAGTCATATATAATATTAAACCTACCTCTTTCACCCCATTTTATTCAACCCCTTCAATTTGGAATCTAGAAAGGGGGAACATATCTGATGAGGATATTGAGGGACATCATGATAATGTGATGTACTGTAGTATAATAAGGGATTAGTGGGGCAAGACTCAGAGGAACGTATCACTTTAATCAGAGCCCTGTGAAAACCAGGTCAATCTGCAATTAACCCCACCAGGTCTTATGGTCACTGCCTAATTCAAACAACACTACAGTACTGTCATATTAATAATGCTGCATATTTCTGAGAGAAGTAACACAAACACATCATTTTCAGAGGATCCTGCATAACATACTTAAATCAACAACTGCGGTATACACACACATTAACCTTTGATATAGCACGGTCCAATGCTCATGGACAGTGTTTCCTCACTTATAGTAGGGAGGGGTTCCTAATGCAGACATGCATGGTGCTCATTCAAACCATAAATGCCAGCAGGTGAATTACAACCTGAGGGGAAAGTCATACGGACTCGGGATACAAGCGAAATCCTAAACAAACTAGCTGGAACCGAAATGCAGAACTAAGACCCACGGACCTACGGTGCATGAAAGAAAATGAACAAAGTAAAAGCCCCTGGATCCATCTGAAACATCTCTTTATTCTGTTAGAGCTGGTCAAAGTTTTTAATGAGCTCTGTGAGGATGCACAGAGTTGCAGCTGACAAGTCTGGAGGAGAGAGGGGATCTTGCACATTTAATTTGCCTCTTGTGATAATGACGATCCTATTAGCTCGCATAATGAAGGGTCTCAGCTTTAACACCTGCACATGTGTGCCAGCCTGACCCCCTGCGGATTCCCAAACCTCCTCCACTCTGGTCATTTCTACAAAATGTTTTTTTTCTGCTGAAATTAGACGACTTGTTTTTCCTCCATAGGTTGCTGCTTCGCTTTTTGTTTCCACTGCAGTTTGCATCTCCTTATTGTGCACGTAATTTTTGTTCACAGTTGGTGATCTCCTAATTTTTGAACATCATTTGTAGTCACTCTATATTTAGGACTGCCCATGCAGCTTGCCTGTGAGCAGGAAGTAGTTGAAGGACTTGACTATTAGAGTACAGGAGCTAGACTCCACCTCTGGCCATCAGCCTAAAGTCAAGATAGGATTAGTGATAAAGAGAGATGTGGACATATGTGGTTTGTATTTCCTCCCACAATACTTCATTCAGAGGATTACGGCTCCAAACTTCAAGCAATAACAGCTGCCTTTACGTGCAACCTGAGACATACACTTGCTGATAATCTTGTATGGATCTTTTCTCCAACCGTGTCCGATCCAACACTGTGCCAGTCATGGTTGCAGTTAGCAGGGAGGCAGCTTTACCTCGGGTGTCACAGTGGGACACAGTCGACTGTCTACCGTTGGACAAAGGCACAGCAGCCAGAGAGAGAGTTTGATCCGAACCTGTTGAAGTCAAGTCAAGTGGACACATCGTGTGATGCTGCAGTGCAGGACGCCAGTTTATGGGCAGTTAAAAATGGCTAAAAATCATGTCAACTACTTCTATGCTCCAATAGTGACAAAGACACACTGGAAGAAACCCAACCATGTAAGTAGCTTTACCTTAGCAATGCTGGATGGAAAGCATCGCTAGACGGCAAACTAAAGAGGGAATTTGGCAGCATTTTTAGCAGAGGCTTAGACAACTGTCTCTCCGAAGTGAGAGTCGAAAGTTGTTGCACAACCTGACAGGTCATATTGGTTGTTTATTTAGGAAATATGTCTGTATGTTTGTGGAGGGACATTTCTAGTTCTAATATCAGGTGTTTCTGTTAGCGTAAAGAAACAGATAGGACCTGATCTTGTCATGTATATGTCCATACGCATGGACATACAGTTTTATGGCTAATGGTAGTTGTTGTTTAAGCCCAAAGATAACATGAGGCTCAACTCTAAAGCTCCTCTTATTCTAATCTCTGGTTAATATTGTTGAAGCTGCGGTTATTTACTTTCAGGGTTTGTGGCAGACTTTTGTTTGCACATGGTGGAGGACTTTACTCATACTCACACTGAAAGCTAAGACACAATTGCTCTGTACACAAACTGTTTGACTATGTCAGGCTTTACTGGCTGAACCTTTCAGCCTTCACTTGATTACTCCAGACCGATGCACCCGTGGACTGTTGCAGTTAAGGATTTTCTCCGGTAGTTAGACTCGTCATGGTCAACGGATACATGCAAGTTTTGCATGTGAACATTTAAAGGACAATACCCCAGCAGTTTTGGTGGGGCTCTAAAGAATTGTAGGTAGGTGTTTATCGTGGAAAAGCAGGTCGGTCACACTTGACTCTGTAATAGTGTGACAAACCAGAAGGGAGAGGCAAGAGATGACATGCAGCAGTCAGGTAAATTGCTGATTCAGATAAATATGAATCTAAACTTTAGCAGTGTTTCAATTCATGGGAACAGCTGACAGAAAATATGTGCTTTACCAACTGAACAAGCTTTACTGTACAGCTCTGAATAATGGGACAACACTTGTCCTGAATGAAAACATTTGACAGAATTGTCTCAAGCAGGTAACCATAACTTTCTGTTTGGGGTCCTGAAGAACAAGAGCCATGTTTAACAGCTTGATATTAATTTTCCTCATTTCCAAATCAGCAAATTGCCGATGGACCAAAATTTGAGTAGTTGATGTTTCAGAAGCCCACTACAGAAAATGTTACATTACTTCTGTTTGGGATCTCAGAGATAACAGTTGTTATCACACAATTTTAAATACAATAGATTTTCACATGCTGGCAGAACTTTCTACACAGCACTAACTCTTCAAAGTCTATTTGGGTTCCTGTTTTTGGAGTTTTATAAGTTTGTTTATAAGGAGTCTTACAGAGAGTTTGTTACTATGTAGGAGAACATATTGTACATTTCTTTGCATGTGAATGAGTTTCTGGCAAACTAAACAAACTTATATATATATACTGTATATATATATATAAATATGTGTGTGTGTTCATGCATAATCCATATAACATTAAAAAACAAATATGTCTTTATTTGGTGTTATAACAATGCTTTATGCTCATCAAAAGTCCAATTAATGGCAAAGTGAAGAGTTCCCATACAGTATATTGTATTTAATAAGGTCAGAAGAGAAAAGAAAACTAATAAACTGTGATCTTGCAATTATTATCTTTTTTTTAATGCATACAGCAGTGCGGTCCCCGTGAGAATGCAGCGCAGTGACAAGAAAACACATGGGTTAAATGTGTTCTCCTGTCAATAGATGGAGTGTGATGGGGCTCCGAAAAATAATTGTTGTACTGTAGTTATCAGCCTCACTGCTGTAGAAATACATTAACCTCCACACCCAACAAGTGAACTCAAAACATTTTTATCTCACTCTCCTCTCTCCAGACCACAGATTTTTTTGAAATGATTGAAAAGATGCAGGTAAGATGATGCATTGATCTTTGTATTTTGTCTCAGGTTTCTAAGCTATATACTCACCAAGCAACTAACCAGTCAGTGTGTCTCCTAATGCTGCAGCACTTTGGCCCTCTCCTTGGCTACAATACTTATCTTTCTGCACATGAGATGGATATTGAGTCTGGTGATTTTCAGAGGAGAGTCGTCAGAGCGTTATATGTGTGTCTCCCCCGTCTCTGTTAACACTCTGGTTGTAACACTGTCTGACAGCACTATGAGCTTATTATCTCACTTCAAAAAAAAAAAAAAAAAACTGTGTCCTGGCTTCTGAAGGCTTTGGAAGGATGTTTGTTTAAACCATGTGAGTTTAAACACATTAAGAGTTTGACGATAGAGCTTATCAAAACTTGTCATCATGATCTCAAAGCTTTCAGTATCTCCAGTGTGTTTCATGTCTGGCTGCTTATGTCGGCATAAGTGACTATTTAAAAAAAAGAGGTATGGGATGTGATGCAGGACTGTGCTGCTTCCACAGTCAGACGCTTGGTGTGATGTATCGTCTTCTTTGACGCCAGGCGCCATCACCTATCCCTTATTTAGTGTCACTGCATCTCTTTGTCTGCATCTTTCCCGCTCACTCACTCTTTCACACATACACATATACACACACACACACACACCTCAGGTCCAATGGGTGTTTGATAGTAGGAGTGTTACTTAGCTCTGCATCTTTTTAATCCCCAGGGTCTTATTACCGCACGTCTTCTGTGTGCTAACAGACTTTTCAGTCACTCCCAAACGCCTGCTCTTTAGCATCTTTTAATTGTCTTTTGGTATCTGTGCTCCCAGTGTATCTCTATGTCTCTATGTACCTTTCCATCTGTCCCTCTCTGACTATGCTTTGTTGCCTGCCGCACATCTCCTGGGAAAACTGTGTCGTTATGTAATGAGGTTGATAATTTTCTCCTAGTCTATTTGTTTTAGTTGTTCATTTAGAACATGATCATCACACTGTTTATATCGTTCTTTTTCTTTCTTTTTTTTGTATTTCTAATCAATGACAAGTGCTTGAATTTAGGTATTTGTGTTGATTGCAATACCAGCTTCTGTGTTGATGACTGAGCATGACCCTTCTGTCTCTCTCTCTTTCTGGTTTTCTTATCTCATCCTGTCCTCTCACAGGGCAACAGGATGGATGAGCAGAGATGCACCTTTCCTCCCCCACTCAAGGTGCGGTTCTCCATGTAGAGACAGAGCGTTATTCACATTATGCGGTCATTGTGTCACGACTGCTCCACCATATCTTGCTCAGCCAGACAGGCTGATTACTTCAGCACAGAGTAGCACAATATTATTCATAATGCAGTGAAATGCTCTCAAGAGTTATTCAGGAGTCAGTATCATACGATGATACTGATGTTATGCTCTGCAGCCTGAATTGCTGAAATCTTAGTAACAAAGAATTTAACAGGATGACGATGATGTTAATGCATGATTTAAAACGATCAATGTGCCCAATAGTGGTTAATATGGATATGTACATGAATAATAATGGTTTTTGATCAAACATGCATTGATAACTAATTCCTATAGTTTCTGAACTGATTTTCATTGCATAACAGTTATGCAACTACTCTGAAACAGCGTCCTTTGGGATTATAGAGTTGGACTGTGTGGCTATTTTCTTCTTTGATGAGGAACAAACAGACAAAGCTTTTTTTTTTTCTCTCTCTCTCTATATATTTTTTCAGACTGAGGAGGACTACATTCCATACCCAAGTGTCCATGAGGTAGTGTGATGATTTGCTGCACTAGCATTTTTCATCTTTAGTGTTTGTGCGTTGCTCAGACATCAGTCCAGTTTCATTCCTGTCCTGACATGACTTTCCATCGTTCTGTGTATCAGCTACGTTGCTATTTTGCATTTTGGGACAGGTGCTGGGCAGAAAAAGCCCCTTTCCTCTCATCCTCCTGCCTCAGTTTGGGGGATACTGGATTGAGGGGACCAACCATGAGCTGAGTGACGCCGTGGACGCAGAGCAGCTGCAGCCCCTGTCCCCAAACACCCGCACCAAGCTGGAATGTAACACAACAGCCACACTCTACCGGAAACACTTCCTGAGCAAGGTTAGTCACAGAAAGAGATCACTAGATTTTTTTATTTTTTTTTTTTTATTATACTTGATCTTTTCATCTTGAAAAAGCAATAAACTGAAAAAAACAATATTTATGACAATGTATCCAAACCCAAAAACAACCTTTTTATAAAAAACTAAAAACAAAAACAAGAGCGGATTATGGGGGTGAACCAAAAAATACAATACACATTCATTTCGTAACACATAATTCAGTTACAATTTAACGCTTTAACTCTGGGCAAAATCTAAAAATATGACTAAATGAAGCACGGTGAAACATATTGATGTCTCTGCTAAGTTACATTTACCTTGTTAGATTGCTATGATGAAATAGCAGAAAATTGGATGCAGTCGTTGTATGCGTTGTTCTCTATATCCATCTTAGCTCGGCTTGTACATTTTCATCTTGTCCCTGCTTTTGATTTGTTTTTGTTTTTTATTTTTACCATCAGTTCATTCATAGTTTTTTCCATGTGTTTTTTTATGGTTACAATCATGCAATTAAGTATAGATAAGAAGATCAAATAACCATGTTTATTTGGTAGTAAAGCCGGATCTACTTAAAGAAAAGGTGTGTTCTGATACTGCTCATATTACAGAAGTCATAGTCATGAATATCCTCATTATAACAGCTTCCTTCCTCCTTAAATGAGCTTCATTACTCTCATAGAATATTCCACGATCAATTTCACTTCTTGCTCATTATAGTAATGAAATGAATCTGCAATAAGCAAATCCCAGTGGAGAAAACCACTAACAGTAACCAGCCTCACTGTTTGGCACCTCATACACTGTTGCTAATGAAGATGCATTAGGCTTTGCCACCTGTTCTTACACACGCATATAACACGAACAAATTTGATCTGCCTGTAGCAGAAGCGCAGCAACAGAAGAAAAGGCACTCAGATTGGAAAGATATGGGAAATGACCGCAGCGCATACACATGTGTCCTGCACGTGTGTGTATGTGTGTGTGTGTGTGTGTGTGTGTGTCTGTCTGTTAAGGGCAGATACTAATGGCCGTGTCCCTGCACTGTGCCCTCAGGAACACTTTAATTACTATTCAGTGGACAGTGCTCTTGGACATCTGGTGTTCTCCCTCAAGTACGACGTGATTGGTGACCAGGAACATCTCCGGCTAATGCTCAGGTAACGCTCATTATGCATACATAGTACAGCACAATGCTGCTTAATTTACAGAGAAAATCGAATCTTTAAGTCTGAATAGTGCACATCAGCAGCTGAAGTAATGAATGTGCAGGCTTAGACAAAATGTCACCTCTTTCATGATCAACATGAAATAGATACAGAATAATCTTTTTTGTTGTTGTTGTTGTTGTTGTTCCTGAAATGCTGGGTATTGACTGGATAAACACATCCTCCCAGCACGGGTGTTATCGCAAGAGTCGTAAAGCGAGAGAGAGTGTCAACAGCACTGTCATTTCCACAGCAGAGTAACAGATGGACTATTTAGGCCAGCGAGTGGGTGGAGAGGGTGGGGAAGTTTGATGATGGTCCACACCGGATCATCTCTTCCCCATCTGATGAGGTTCTGAGAAATGTTGCCGCACATTATATGGCTTTCAGACCACACTGATTGTTTTATGACTTCACCAGGACCAAACTGAAAACCTACCATGATGTGATCCCCATTTCCTGCCTGACAGAGTTCCCCAACGTGGTCCAAATGGCCAAGGTGAGACGAGTTGTTTTCATTTTGCAGAGATTTGTCTGTTGTGACAGTGTCTAAGCACATTCTGACATTTTTTCCCTCTGTTTTTTTTATTTTTTTATTTAAGCTTGTCTGCGAAGAGGTCAACGTGGACCGTTTTTTCCCTGTCCTTTATCCAAAAGTAAGATCTGTTTTTTTTTGTTTGTTTTATTGTAGCTGCTTTACATGTCCTTTCCAGTCTCACATGCCCATATGAAACACTGTTTGGGGAAAATTTTGGAAGATACCCCTTTTAATTTTTTGTCTTAAAGTCAGACAGTTGAAGCCTCATATTAGCTTCAGATAAACCTTTGAATACATTTTTGCATAGAATGAGGATTGTGGATTTTGTCCCCCATCACTTTCGATGGAAGCATGTCAGCAAGAGATCTCTTAACAGCTGGTTTGAACAGTAGGAGTTACTACAAGTCAAATCATTTTCAATGTTCATATGGGCACCGGACTAGAAAAACTGTGAACAGATCTTTTAAGATTTCTTGTTTTATCTATATTTATTTACAGGCTTCAAGACTTATTGTCACCTTTGATGAACATGTGATAAGCAACAATTTCAAGTTTGGGGTCATCTATCAAAAGTTTGGACAGGTGAGCTTTAAAGCCTGGGTTTAAGTTAACAGGAAAGTTTCTTGTGCATTCATCCTTTACATTCATTATATCCAGTCCAATAACAATTAGCATGTACTATACATATACACTGTCATTTCTGATATTCTCAAGGAAACTGATTATGCTCAGTCATCCCCAGTCTTAATTATGGCTTTCGGTCTGGCCCAGTCACTGTGGCTGCCTTCAACACTCCCTCTCATTTACTGAGGCAATCACAGCCCTCTTGTTTACTATGCGGCGGGCAGACGACCTATTGAATGCTTTGCTGAGGGCACTTGTACCTTTGAATGGAGACCTCTGTGTGTAGAGACCTGCACTGTCAATCCCTGAAAGCCCACAGAAGTTTAAAAACACTGTTAAATACATTGTGAATAAGCCAAGGGGCCATCTCAGGAAGGCAGTGAGGACCCTCTGCTCACCCTTCAGGACATTTTCTATTCAGGAGGTGGTGCTAAGCAGAGAAAGAAGTGATGGTTAAGTAGGCATAGCGCATACGGGAATAAAACTGAAACACTCAATAGGCAACAGAAGCTTCTTCTCAGGCATTGTTTCTATGTGTTCGTGCTGAGGCAGGCTTTTGTGTTCACATCACTACTCGACTGGCTGACAGTACACAATCAACTCTCCATCACAAATGATCATTATTGCACAAGCCTTTCTTTAGCCTGTCTCTACACCTCCTGTCATACCTACTGCTTTAATTGATCGAAGCCACCTTTGTCATCTCAAATGCGAATGCAGAGTGTTTGGACAAGACTGCCAAACACACATCAGATACACTTTACTTAATGGCTTCCAGTTATTGACCCCAATGATCTGTTGCTGTAAAAAACACCTTATGTAAAATACTCATTGCACCACTGGCAGTCTAGTATGTAGTTTTCATTCAGCTTCTCAGCCATTGTTCTTAATGCTTCTTTATTTGTAATGCAGGAATAAATGGAATTATTATTAGCATTTTTATTGGCCTCTACTGTACAAACCATCTTGAGTATTTTTAGCTTGTAGCTGCTGACATCATGTGGTCTTCTAAGCCTTGATGTTCATGAGGGCTTTTTACTGGTTACAGACTTCAGAGGAAGAACTGTTTGGCAACAGCGAAGAGAGTCCTGCCTTTGTTGAATTCCTGGAGTTTTTAGGAGAGAAAATTGAGCTGCACAACTTTAAAGGGTAAGGACCTGACTGTGTTTGCAAGGCAGTGTATATACTCTACCACACATTTTATAACATGAAACCAATTGCAGGTTACATGATATCAGGCTAGCTATAGGAATCATGGTCATGCCACTGCAGTAATGGTGGAGAACATCCTATTAGACATGGGTCTGTGTGCTTGCAGTTTCCGTGGAGGGTTAGACGTGACTCATGGGCAGACTGGCACAGAATCTGTCTACTGCAACTACCGCAGCAAAGAGGTCATGTTCCATGTGTCCACAAAGCTGCCTTACACAGAGGGGGACACCCAGCAGGTACTGTAATACAATACCAGACTAACACACCTTTTATGATTCACAGCAAGCGGTCAGACAGGTTCCCTCCGGGTATTATAGTACCATATTTTGCATGTACCTTCCTGTTGTGCCAAACAGGCGCAGCACATACAGTGGGGTCCAAAAGTCTGAGACCACTTTCCCATTCAAGTGATGGGAAAGTGGTATCAGACATTTGGACCACACTGTATTTGCAAAATAAAAAAACACTATAGTAAACATTAATCACATTAAATTTATGACTTATGCCTGCATATGTGAACAGCAGTCCTCCCTCACAGTGATTTAAAGCGGAGATGCAGCACTGCATTGCTCAGGCAGCCAAGTACTCCTCCTCCTCCTCTGTCTGACATATACATGCAAACACTGATTAATTAGCACACGCTTGCACACCATTTGCTACCCTGGTTTGCACAAACACAGATGAGGCAATGTCTATATGTTCGGTTTCCTGTGGTGGGTGTTAAACACTGGCTCCTTTGAGCCTATCAGTGCTTGTTCAAGCTGTCATCAGGGGAAACAGCACACCCTGGTGGTATTTCATGAACTCGCATTGCTTTCAGCTGTGAGACAGAGAGAGGGATGAATGAAGAGTAAGCACTTCCTTTTAATTATTTATAATTTTATAATTTCTGTACTCTGTACACAATATGAAAAGCAATGTGTATACTATATATATATATATACTATTTTTCCTATACTGCCCCTAAGTAATTTTATATCATTTATGAGCTGTTGGAAATATGCCGCTTTTGCAAGCACTGTGCCATCATTGGCATTAAAGAAGTGTGAAGTATTCTTTTAATTAGACAAGGCTTTGTAAAAAAATTAGTTGGAACTACAATAGAAGGAATTTTCATATTGTCTTTTAAATTCTGTTCCAGGCAGTATTAAATATGTTCTGAAAAAATCCTAAATATAGCTATCTGAAACCTGCAGATGACCAAATAACATTCACACATGAACATTCTTTCATTGTACCATTACTGTCTTGAGGGAAGCATACTCACATTCATTTGTCTGTAAATTAATTTTTTAAGTTGCTATGTGGCTATTGTGTTGCAGTTACAGCGAAAGAGGCACATAGGGAATGATATTGTGGCCATTGTATTCCAAGAGGAAAACACTCCCTTTGTACCAGACATGATTGCCTCTAATTTTCTCCACGCCTATGTTGTGGTCCAAGTGGTCAACCCGTGCTCTGACAAAGCTCTCTACAAGGTGACCTATTTTTCCTCTTCCTCTCCTTTACTCTGCTTCCAGTGATAAACGGTAATGATACTTAATCTCACTCTCTTATCATTAGGTATCAGTGACAGCACGGGATGATGTACCTTTCTTTGGCCCAGCCCTCCCAAACCCAGCTGTCTTTAAAAAAGTAAGAGAAAGACCTGAATTACAGCATTCTCTAGCCAATGCACTTCCCCCCTTTCTGTACTCTTTTAGTTTCCAACCTGATGTCTTGTTTCTCCACTCCTTTCTTCCCAGGGCCCTGAATTCCATGACTTCCTTTTTACTAAGCTCATCAATGCAGAGTATGCATGCTACAAAGCTGAGAAATTTGCCAAACTGGAGGTAATTGTCCAAGAGCTTCTTTTATTTTAAAAAATTCTGTCATTTTGTCATTGGCCAGAGCCATATAAATTATCATTTGCTTCCATTTGTTTCATGTCCCTTTTTGTGTATGTATGTGTGTGTAAGGAGCGAACGCGGTCGGCTTTGTTAGAGACCCTGTATGAAGAGCTCCATATGAACAGCCAGGCCATGATGGGAGTTGGAGGAGAGGACGACAAACTGGAAAACGGGAGTGGAGGAGGAGGGGGCTTCTTTGAGTCCTTCAAGGTAACTGGAGAGGCAGCAGCAGAGGCTGGGGCTTCAAACTGACAGCTTTACTTCCTGCAAATTGCTTCTTCAATGGAAAAAGTTTGAGAAGCTTAAATGAGTTTGCATAAACAAAGTCCTTTGTAAAGATTTAAATTCTATACTTACGTCAGCACTAAGACAGGAACACTGTTTTCACATGGACTGAAACTTCAGTTCAAGCTCAGACTTATCTCTATTAAAAGACTTTTGGGAACATTTGGGACATTTGGGAAATACGCTTATTTGCTTTCATGCCAAGAGTTACATGAGAAGATTGATATGATATCAAGATTGTGGATCTGTTAAATATTAAGCGATATCAAGCATCCATTCATTCCCTGCCATTTATCTGGGGCCGCGTCTCGGTGGCATGTTAAGCAAGGAAGTCCAGACATCCCTCTCCATGACAACATTTTCCCGCTCTTCCTGGGCATCCTGTGGTGTTCACTAGCCAGATGAGATATATAATTTCTCCAACATGGTCAGGGTCTACCCCAGGGTCTCCTACCAGGTGGACATGCCCAGAAAACCTCCAATGGAAGGCACCAAGGAGGCATCTTAATCAGATACCTGAACCACCTCAACTGACTCCTTTCTACCTATCTGTAAGGGTGAGCCCAGCCACCCTGTGAAGTAATCTCATTTCAGCCACTTCACGATCTCATTCTTTCGGTCGATTAGGGTTGGAATATAGATTGACTGGTAAATCGAAAGCTTTTTCTTCTGGCTCAGCGCCCTCTTCACCACAACGGTCCAGTACAATGCATTACTGCTGATGCTGCATCAATCTGCCTGTCAATCTCAAGCTCCATTTTACTGTCACTCGTGAACATGACCCCAAGATAGAAACTCCTTCACTTGAGACAGAAAACTCAGCAGAGAACCACGGCCTTAGACTTGGAGGTGCTGACTCTCATCCCATATGCTTTATGCTGCAAACCATCCCAGTGCATGCTGGAAGTCATCATCATCTGCAAAGATCAGTGACAAGGGACAACCCGGGTGGAGGCGAGCACCAACTGGAAATACACTTGACCTCCTGCCAAGAACATAAACACAACTCTGACTTGGGTCATATAGGGACAGGATGGCTCATAGTAACGGCTCAGTATCAAAAGAGTCGGTCCACTGTTCCAGGCCCAGGTCAGAATCTGCATTACACCTCCTGGATCTGAGGTTTGACAATTGGTTGGAGTGTCCTTTTGGGCACCTAGTAAAAGCTTTCCCAGGGAAGCTGAGCAGTGAGATACCCTGATTACCCTAATTGGCTTCAGGAGACTCTCAGGTCAATCGTGCCCTCAACTTCAAACAGCCCTCTCTACAATGGAAGCACTTAACATTGCCTACTCAGATTCAATGTCCCCAAACTACTCTGAGATGCATAAGAAGTGAGAGGTGGAGGAGGTGAGAATTTAAGGCCTCACTGACATGGGTCCCAGACAGGACACCATCATTACACGTTTGGGTTTACCAGGTCTACCAGGCCGGGCAGCCTCCCCTGCCATTTGATCCAACTCAGCAACAGGTAGTGATCAGTTGACAGGTCTGCTTCTCCCTTCACCTGAGTGTCCAAGACATACAGGCGCAGATCTGATGATACAACCACAAAGTCGATCATCGATCTTAAGTCTACGGTGTTCTGGTTCTAGGTCATTGCCCACGTGAGTACTGAAGTCCCCCACCAGGACTACTGAGTCAAGAGGTTGTGTTCCAGGACTCAGAGACTGCAAGAAAGTGGAACACTTCGAAGTGCCATTCGGTGTATAAGCACAAACAAGAGTCAGAGCCTTGATCCCAACAACTTGCTGTCACATAAATGACCCTCTCATACTCATGAGTATCCGCACATCCAGATTCTGGGCTCTAGAAAAGTAGAGAGTCCAGCCCGTCTCCTGGAGTTTGATCTAGAGCCAATGCTGTGTGTGGAGGTGAGTGCAACTATATATACAGCAGTTGGGACCAATTCACCACCCCCTGCACCAATTCAGTCTCCTTCCCCGCCAGAGAGGTGACACTCCACGTCCCTAGGACCAGTCTATGATGCCATGCGCGGCACGCCTAGGTCCCTTCCCTTGCCTGCCACTTGTATTGCATTGCACCCAACCCCAATTCCTATCTAGAATAGTGGGCCCACAGGGTGGTGGCTTAATGTTCGTTTATTCGAGTTCCTGAGGGAGCTAGGAGCTGGGCTGCTGCTCCTGCTCGAAAGGAGTCAGTTGAGATGGTTCGGGGATATGAACATGATGCTTCCTGGATAAAAATCTATTGGAGGTTTTCTGGGCACGTCCAACTGGTAGGAGACCCCAGGGTAGACCCAGACCACACTGGAGAGACTTTATATCTCATCTGATCTGGGAATGCCTCAGGATCCCCGGGGAGGAACTGGAAAATGTTGCTGGGGAAGTCTTGAATATCTTGCTTAACCTGTTGCCACTGCGACTGACTCTGGATACATGGCAGGAATGGATGAATGGATGGATCTTCTCATCTAACTCTTGCAAGAAAGCAAGTGTTTCTCTCAAAAATGTCAAACCATTCCTTTAAGTGTCATTATAAGACTAAAGTATTATAAGTATCATAAATGAGCCTGTAAAAAATTGGCATCTACAGTAGTCGTAGTAGCCACGTTTTGTTCCAGCTGTCAGATGTTTCCTATGTGGAATTTTCTTCTCTCTAGTAGTCTTTCAGGATTCTTGTCTATATGCAAGCTGTGAGCTGAAAGGGCTTCATCAATCTCTATTAATCTGAATGAGGAGAAGCTCTGCTGCTCTTTCCTGCTGGAACACACCACTCTTGGCTTCCCAGCTTTTCTTCCAAATGCTTTCTAGCTGTTTTTTGCTGCTGTGTTCTCTGCATGCTCCAATGTTCAGTCATTAGTAACTTATTTATATAAATCGGTCATCCTTGAATGTCACGATATCAAGGAGAATGGATAGTTTTCTTTCACCATCAGATGCCTCTGCGTCTCCACTCTGTTCCATGCCTGCAAAAAGGTGCACTGGGCTTTAAACGTCTCCTGGCTGTGTTTAAACTCAGTGTGGTGAGACATCTGCAAGCCGCTTGGCCCCTCTACTTCCCCTCTCTTCTCTTACCACCTATCTAAACATAATGACTCATCTGAACCCCCCTCCGGGCACTAAAGCTTAGCAGTGTTCTCTGTCGCTTCCTTGTCTGTCAGGATTAGCATCAGGCCAGTGCTCTCTGCCTGTAGTGGTCAGTGTTCAGGGACAGCCCCGAGGCTCCTCTCAGCCTATGAAGCCAAACAGCAATGCTGAGGGGTCACAGAGGTCAGCGCCATCTGAATGTATCTCCTCCTCCTCGTCTCTCTCTGTAGCGGGTGATCCGCAGCAGGAGCCAGTCTATGGATGCCATGGGTCTTACTTTCAAGAAGCCGCACACAGTCTCCACTAGCCTGAGCGGCAGCTTTAACCACAACCCCGCAGAGAGCCCCAAATTCCCAGGGATAGTAAGTACAGTCCCACTCCTCCTGGTCTTGAGTGAAGCGAGTCTCGCTTCTTCTACCTCTCCCCCGGCAATTCTATTGCGTTCATGCCCCCTCTTCCCTCACTTGCCTGCTGCACTAACTTCTCACGGAGAAGGTTGCACACTCGGTCCAGTGGAGCATTAATGCCTGGGTCTTAAACTTGGCTCTCACATTGCAACGGTTGCACATTGTCTGCCACCACAAGATGGAGTGACACATAGAAGTGAATAATTATAGGACACGAGGTGAATTTCTTCCCTGGGTTAAAGCTGCTTCTAATATTTATTTTTTTTCTTGAGTTCTCATTATTTAAATCCCCTGTGCATCTGCACTGTTTATAAGTGCTCTCTAGAATTCTAATGAATGTGGGTTGAGTCCTGTGTGTGTGTGTGTGCGTGCGTGCGTGCGTGTGTGTGTGTGCATGACTCCCATCAAAGTTTTGGTGATCACATAATTGTAATTATGAACAAATTAATATTTCTGTCATCAGGTGAAAACCTTGTATCATCAAATAAAATTTTTTTGCATTCTCAGATTTATATAACTTGTTCTGAAAACACAAAAGCACCAAATTTTTCCAACTCACAGAGGAGATAATCATTGTTCAGCTGAAAGTGAAACAAGAAACTCACCTAAACTTGTAGTTACAAGGTCTTCACTTAACAGTGACTGTGCACATTGTTGCTTGTCTGACATGTACTGTATATTTGGGGGCTGTGGGTGTGGTATTTTTTATGGACATTCTCTGATTTGTATGGAAATCATTATGAAATTTCATTTTCCTCTGTGCTGGGCACTGAACAGGATCTTTAGTCTTGTATGTGCAAACAAACATATATCTCTATACATTAATATTGTATTACTAGATCACATTCAAGATTACCTGCAAAACTAACTAACCCTTATTATTAACCAAAATGCTTTGTTAATGAATGTGACTGAAGCTTGCTTTTTGCCCATGACCTTGTCTTGATGTGAAATCTAATGTATAACATGCTGTGTGTCCTCCTCTGTTGTTTTTATCTGTTCTTCATCCTCTCTCTCACAGGCATATGGCCCCCATACTGTAACTGGCTCATCATTTCTCTCTCCCATTCAGCTGCCTGTGTTGCACCCATGGAGCCAAAAAATGTCCCTCCTTGTATTCTCCAGTTAACACGTGTTTTGTATTTTGTTTGAACATGACTTACTGCATGGAATCTCATATATATTTGTATATATCTCATGTTTTCTCTTCCCCTCCCTTTACCCTCTTCCTTTTGTTGTCTGTCATCATCACTCTGTTTCTTTCTTTCTTACTCTCTCTCTCTCTCTCTCTCTCTCTCCCTCTCTCTTCTTCCTGTGTGGTTCAGTCATTGCTTGTCCCAGGCAAAAGTCCCAGTAAATATGGACGTCGAGGCAGTGCCATAGGGATAGGAACAGTAGAAGAGGTTCATGTCTAATTATAACTTCTCTCTAACGACTCACTTCTCTTCTTTGCTCCTTTTGTTTTGTCTGCATGGGCCCACTGCATCATGGCCAAACACTTTTCTCGATACCTTTCAGCACCCTAGTGTGTATTCAACATAGTATGGATTGTGTGTTACAGACAGGATGTATTGTGATAAAAACAAAAGCAGATATACATATTCTTCTACACATTTTCTCATTAATTGATTTGACAATTTCAGTCTTTTGGATTGTACATACACTACCATAAAGAAAAAATTCAAATTCACAAGCGATCAGCAGCTCTGTGATATGAATGGAGCACATAGTCCTATCTGAAGGTGCCTCCCTTGGCTCCCTTCTGTATAATATATATGTTTTTTCCTGTACTTTTGTTTTCCTGTCTTGTTATTGCAGTATGTGTTCACCTTCTATAGTCTTTGCTGCTTATTTTGTAATTGTATTTGTATTTGTAAGTATAGTTAATTCTCTATTTGTTTAAAAATTATGATTAATAATTTAATGAACCCCTTACAGAGATATTATGAAAAAAAAGAATCCTCCTCTTGCTCTTTGAAGCCACATCGAATAAAAGGCTTTTTCAAGTTCTTATTTTGAGAGCTTTAAAAGGGAGATTGAATGAACAAAGCAGTCGCTGAGAAAGCATATTTAGTGGTGGGCCCTGGAGCCTTTAAATCCATCTTTCATCTCCCGCCTTAGTGTGCTCTACTCTGGCTGGAAGACTGGCACCAGGGCTTGACATTAAGCTGCTAAGTGCATATTTTAACTTTTTTTTTTTTCATTATAGTAACAACTCAAAGGGAGCAGTGTTACTCCTCAGCCTGATAATTCAGTGCAACATATTTTTGAAAATCATGTTTCCAAATGAATAGGCCCCATAATAAAGATGAATGGTTAAGTCTAGATAAATAAATATATTGATATGCTTATGAGATTAATTTAATATTACTCAAAGACATTTAAGGTATTAGAAGTATTTTTAACTCTGACGCTGACTGTCTGTCTTCTCTCCCTGGCAGTCGTTGATAATCCCAGGGAAAAGCCCGACCAGGAAAAAATCTGGTCCGTTCAGCTCCAGGCGAAGCAGTGCCATCGGTATTGAAAACATTCAAGAAGTCCAGGAGAAGAGGTGAGAGAGGACTTGTGCACATTCCTGCTGTATTTATTTTGTGTGTATCCGTACACCATGTGTATTTTCTGTGTCTTAAAGCCTTGGAGCTAATGTTCATAATTGACTATATTTTACTTGTCAATGCATGCACATTTACTGCTTTTCTCCATGTTATAGTCTATTTGCTTTCTCTGATATTTTATAAATATTTTTCTGTGTCTTTTGTTGCAGTAGAGAGAACTCCCCAAATACCCAGAAGACCCCTGACAGTGGCCACGTCTCTCAAGACCCCAAATCTGACAACTCTTCCAATCAGAGCTCCCCTGAAGTGCTCACAACCACCAAGAACAGGTGTGTATGATAGACAGGTTACAACCATATCTGTATATCAATACATCAGTGGATATATTGATCACATTTTGTGTCGCCTTACCTGTGTTTGTATAACCGCTGAGTTATCCTCGGCTACAGCAGCATGTTGAATGACTGTGTCTTATGCATAAGATAAAATCAAGTTTGGCTGTGCTGGAGAGTGGTTAACCCAGGGTTTAGTTCTTATCTCGGTGGCAGGGCCCCATCCATCCCTGAGGGTCACGACCTCTCCCGCTCCTCCTCCAACGCTAGCAGCTTCGCCAGTGTGGTGGAGGAGAACGAGACAGAGGCCACAGAGGACTATGACACAGGCATGGTGAGTTGGATATTCAGTGTGTGTATATGTATTTAAGTCATCTGTTTGTCTTCCAGTCTAATAGACATGTGTGTTTCGCTGTGTCTGTCTTCTGTGCGCTCCCTAGGAGAGTCTGTCATCAGCCGGGACGCCACACAAGCGAGACTCCTTCACCTACAGCACCTGGCTGGAGGACAGCATCAGCAGCACCAGTACCGCCAGTCGTGGGAGCTCCCCAGGTGAGAGAGGTGGAGACCTTTTAGCAGTATTTCTATTGTTCTATCAACATTACTCAACGATTCATATCGTAGCTGATCCAGGTTTATTATTGAAATGAGAAAATGTACTGGCAACATACTGTATGACTGGCTTCAATATCTTTCTTTGAGAATACACACACACACAGCGAGGTCCAGCTAGTCTGAGCTTCAGTCCAAGTCCTTCAGACTGAAACAGTGTCACACAACTCTTCTCCAATACACCGTGCTCACCAGATGTTTTAGGTTATCTCACCTTTACCAGGGTGATGTGTGAGGCTATTTCAGCCGTCCTTACATGCAGTGCGTTTCCTATGTATGACTTACATATTACATTGTATTACATTGGATACCAAATATACAAAACTTCACCTCTTAATTTTTTTTTTTTACAAAATACTATATTTACTCATAATGGATACAAAAAAATTCAGAAGATTGCTGAAGATGTTTGGTGAGCTGAACAAAGCGTGATGTAAGTTACTGGAGAAGAGTTGTGCAGCATGTTTCTTATTTTGATGGATGTATACAGAATCACACAGTTGTGACCTATCCTTCAGGGCCTGGTAAACCCGAAAGAGGAAAGGGGACAGACATCCGTATCAAACTGGAACGACCTCACGATCATCAGTCCTCATCGGTGAGTCAAACCCAAAGTAACACAGAAATCCAGACTTCTTAATTATCAGATGCCTCCAAATCTCCTTGGTTGCCGTGCATGTTTTTTTTTCCCCCTTAATGCTCAATTAACCCTGGCATTGAAAAAACTGACCAAGTACACACTCTGATGATGTGCTGCACTGACGCTGTGTAACAGTACAATCTCTGCTTTACTGCCCTGTGCTGTTGTAATGCTTTTTGTGTGCTGTTGCTGATGTTTAGTTCTGCTCTGTCTGTTTTTTATTGCTCTTTGTGCATCTCTGTGTGCAGAACTGTTAGCTCCACACACCTGGTTGTATCCTGGATCTCCATCTTCAGGTTAGACTTCCCTCAATACCTTGTCATGGTCTCTAATGCCATGGATTTAAACAATGGACAAATGGACCAGAGACAGTTAACTGATACCAAACCAAATGCTGCTTGTGCACATACACTGTATATTTAGGTGTTTTCTGTGTAATTGTTTGAATCAAAAGAATTGTTGTGATTGCTGAGGAATATGTATGATGTTTTGGCAAAATGAATATATGAATAGACTGCATTCTGACACCGTAATCTGTGTCAAGAGGTTTTTTTTACCAGATGTCTCTCTTATTCCCAAAGCATTCCCATAAGTCACAATCCTTCTGGGAGGTGAGACAAGTGCAGGCGTTCGCCATGACCAGTGATGCGAGGGAGAAAGCTGAGGAAGATGAGAAAGAAGAGAAGATGCAGGTGGAGCCTGGCCAGCCTGCTGCTCACTGAGGGGCAGAATGCAGAAGTCCAGAAACCTGGAGGACACTGGAGAGGATGACGCACAAGGAGGGGCCAGCTTTTGCACAGTGTTGTTTCCTTCCACTCTTTTCTTTGCCTGTTCACACATCTGTTGCCTGGTTGTATTTTGTTGTTTTTTGTTTGTTTGTTTGTTTTTTTTTTACCTATCTTTGTTTCAAAAGCACACATTTTTATCTACAAATGTAATAATTTTATTTGTAAGACTTGGGTTTAGTTTGTCTTGTTAAAGCCTAAGTGTGCTGGCTATACAGGGTAAATATAGTGCCACTGATCTCTGTGTTGAGACTGTGAGAAGGACGTTTGCTGCAACACAGAAGAAGATCATTGTCTGGATGGATTTACCAAATCAACAAAGGTTTTGGCTCAATAAAGATCTCTAATGTATACGTAATACCAAATATTCAGCATCAGAGATGAGTATTTTCTAACAAAATATCCAATGTGATATAGATTTATTCTGTTGGATGCTCTTAAATGTGATTATTTCCTGGGTAAAATCCAAACACAAGGACTGTATAGCTGCAGCAAAACAGTTGTACCCTTTCCTCTACCACTCTAATCTCCGTAACATTAGATTTCAAACTGAACATCACAAGTCACAGGAAAGATAGCAATGTTTCATAAATGAAATGAAATGGCCTTAAAACGTAAACATGCAATCTCTTTGTTCCTCCAAATTATTTTACCTCACTTCTTTGACTCACATGTTCTGCAGCCAATAATGGGACGGCAGTATTAGATAGAGATTAAAACTAATATATTCAGAATTCCTTTTAAGAACACTAGTTTCTTTCAAAAAAATGGTGGTGCAATGCACCAACACTGTCTGTACAGTCTGCTAATATATGGATATATCCATCCAATGACTGATTTAACTGCTTTGTCTGTCGTGTTTGCTGCTGTGGAGACCAGTCTCTACATTATGTTCGGAGTTGCTTTTTTTCCCTCTGATATATGTTTTTATTTATTGGTTTGGTTCCTATTGAAGTGGCATTTATGGCATATGTTATACCGTACCTCTATAGTGACTCCATCCAGTAACCTGTCATATACTTACTCTGTATGTGTTGCTTTGGAGTAAATTATAATGTTGTCATCTGTAAAGCTCTGTGTTTTTCAGGGGTCAGATCTCTTTCAGTGCAGTACATTTGCAATGCAACTATAATAAAACAGTGAATATTTATTTGCTAGTTAGAAAATAACTGCAAAATACAACTACTGATTTTGTAAATAGATATTAAGTTGGAGTACATAGTGTATAATGTATAGGCCATTTGTTTAAGATGGGATTGACCAACACCTCAAAATAACTGCCAAGATAAAAATTTATTGTTGTTGTTTTTTTCTCATACACTTAAATTTAAATATTATTTTGAGAGAGTTTTGTAGAATAAAAATTATTTTAAAAGCTATTCAGACTGTTCTGTAAAAGGGAAGATCTCACAGTACATCCTGCTGATCATTTCAGTTGCCTTATCATCACAAACTGATGATGTAAGTATAGATTATGAAGCAAATGTTTAACTGCCAGCAGGATTTACAATGAAATGAATGTTTTGTTGTTGTTGTTTTTATTGTAAATAAATGCTCTGACAACTTTAAATTCTATTGGTCTCATCATCTCTTGCCGAACATCACCCTTTAATCTATTTTTGTCAGTATTTCATGATTTTTGCACACTAACACAATATGCTGAATCCCACATAGTGAAAATCCCTGCTGTGACATGCTTACATACTGTAGATGTTCCATTTCCCACCGTCTTAATGAAAGCTAAGAGAGAAAGCCCCATGAATAAATGATTTGATGTGGCTGCCCACAAGTATGTAAAACTAGAGCAATCTAAAAGTGGAGGCTTCCCTGGTTATAGAACTGTGCCACATGGAAGAAAAACATATTCAGAGTAAAAACCAAGGCATGAGGTGGAAGGAACTGTCTGAAGAGCTAAGGGACTGGATTGTGTAGAGGCATTGATCTTGGGAATACTACAAAAAGTTTCTGCCGCATTACATGTTCCCAAGAGCACATTGGCCTCTATAATTCTTAAATGGGAGACACTTGGAACATCTGGGGGGGGGGCAAAGAGGGGTAAGAGAGGTGACCAAGAACCCGCTGGTCACTTTGGCTGAGCGCCCGAGATCCTGTGTGCGGATCATTGGGAAACTCTGGGAGTTTCCCAATGATCCACAAAACTTTACAAGTGTACAAAACTTGACCTAAATTTCAAGTGTCATATAAAGGGTCTGAATCTATGGTCTGAATACTTATATCAATGTGACATTTCAGTTTTTCCTTTTTAGTGAATATGCAAAAATTTCTAAAAATCTGTCTTCACTTTGTCATTAGGGGTATTGAGTGTAGATTGATGAGGGAAAAATATTTTTAAATATATTTCTTTTAATTTTAGCATAAGGCTGCAACATAAAAAAGTCTTGTTTGTGTATTCATGTATTTGTGTTATGTTCTCTCAAAGGTCATCTATACAGTTTATCCTACATTTATATTTCATTGCTGAGCAGTATTCAGGCAAACAGAAGGTGCAAACATTGCCCGAATCAAACTGATGGTGTATTTCATGGATTTCATGGTTCATTTCACACCTACCATTGCCACTTAACTCTCAACTTAGATTGTTAGTGCCCTCCAGTGGAGTCATTTAAGCTTTCAATTTATGAACTATATGTTGCTGAGCACAGAACCTCAGTAATTGCCATCATTATTATTGTTGTTATTTAAAAGCCTTATTAGTTTATAAAATCTTCTCCAAGTTTTATGTATCTGCTCTTGCGGAACCTTTCTTCTCTCTGAGAAACAGGAAGCGTACTGAATTCCGGTTGCACCTGCCGGAGCTGGGCTTCTGAAGTCACATTGAAGACGAAAACCCCGGTCACAGTAGTAACAGGTAATATAATATCGTTTTTAAAATGAGTACATTTATTGTGTTTGTGTTGTCAGACAGTAGGTAGCAGAAACATTCTTATTTTTGATTTATTAGTGATAATCTCTTGACTTTCACGTTCAAAGCGAAGCTAAATTACTAGCTAACATTAGCAACAACCGAAGCACTACAATGCTGTATGACATCTAATTATTACTTGATTGTTCATGTTAATATTGATCCATTTACATTCTCTCGGTAACGTCTGTGCATTTCATGGCTTCACTGTTGCTAAGGACATCAGTTGCCATAGATATCAGATAACTTAATCCCGAAGATGGACATTAAACTGCAATTGACAGTCAAGATCATTAACGTATTTTTACAATGAAAAAAGTCCTTTGGCAGTTTCTCAGAGCTGGAGGCGACGCTTCAGCTTTCTTCTTTTGTTCGACCAACAGTCTAAACCCCGAAGATATTAAATTTTTCAATATTGTAAAATCGAGAAATCGATATCCTCAGAATTTAGAAGCTAGAATCCAGCCTGATTTAGAGGGTTAACCATTTACATTTTCTGTTAATTTACTAATCTATTAATCTACTAATTTAGAGCAGCAACGAGTAGTCAATTAAGTCAGTCCTAAAAACAAATGTGATAATTGATTAATCGTTTAAGTAATGTATTAGTTTAAAATTCCAACCATGGTGTAGTTTCATCTTCTCTAATGAAGGGATTACCTGTTTTTCTCTGTCGCGTTTTTGAATAATAAATGAAACAGCTTTGGGTTTTGGATTGCTTGGTCAGTCAAAACACAAACTGTAAAGTTTCTACACTTTGGAAACAGTAGTTGGACAGAAAAATCTTGACTTATTGTCTAACTAACTTTCTACCTAGCTTTCAATCACACCTCACAGTCTTCCTCAGCAAAAGACGGTTTGCTAGACTTAGGAAGCTGCAACGATTAGTCATATAGTCAATTATTTGTTTGAAATAATATAAATTGCCAACTATGTTCATAATCATTGAATCATTTAACAGTTTTGTCGAGCAAAAACATTTCTGTAGAGGTTTAAACACTTGCAGTATAAAGACCAACTTTATTAACCAACAGGTTTCAACTTTCCAGGTTCCTCAAATGTGAGATTTTGTTGTCTTGTTTGTTCATGGTCTAACATAATAGTAAACTGAAAATTTTGGGGTTTTGGTTGCACAAAAAAAGCACATTTAATGTTGTCAACTTGTGCTTGAGGAAATTGTGATGGACAGTTGATAATGAAAATGGTCTGTTTCAGCCCTTAATGCCTGTTAATGCATTTTGTATCATTTTCTGACATTATATAGACTAAACCATTAATCGAGTAATTGAGAGAATAACTGTCAGATTAATTGATAATGAAAATAATTCAAGAGACTCATAAGACTAACACACAGTACTTTGCTCATACCCACAGAACAAGTGACCACTCAGCCCATTCCTGATGATTTTATTTGGATGATCATTAACGATGTTTACCTCAAAGGTTGTGCCTCGTCTCAGTCTATTACGTAGAGCAACCTGTAAGTATGAACAAATATCTGTCTGGCTGTCTGTCTTTCTGAACTGGAACTACCTAAGTAAGTAATATAACTCCAAATTACGTGATTTATTTTTTTCTTAATACCCAGCTGCACTTCAACCCCATGGGGACATTCTGAATGGATGTGTGCAGCCGATTGTTCCTGCTTACTGCTTTTCACTGAGACAGAAACAGAGAAACTACTCAACAGCAGCAGACAACAGATCTCCTCCTCGATGGATGCAGCTTGAGCCCGAACTGGACGAGGCTCTTGTGCCACGTAAACTGTCAGTAAGTCCTCTGGAGAGCTGGCTCTCCCTGCGCTACTCCCTTCCTGCGCTGCTGGAGTCCGCTCAGCCGCAGGAGGACGTAGAGCTTCTGGAAGAGAAGGTGCTGCCACCCATCTCTGACCCTGTTTTGGAGGATGAGAAGGGCTCAGCAACGCCCCTTAGATGTAAGAATGTTCTGAAGATCAGACGGCGGAAGATGAACCGGCATAAATATAAGAAGCTGCAAAAACGGATTAAATTTTTGAGAAAAAGAGTGCTGGAGGGCAGGGGGAAGAAGAAGCAGGTGAGAGCTTTCTCTAAAAGGATTCTTTTGTCAAATAAGGATCTGGTCATACTTAATATCATTATGATGTGTGATAAGAAAATTTACACTAATGGTGCTAGTATTTAACTTGTTGTTGTTTAATTGTTTTGCTCAGTGTAGTTGAGATATATATATATATATATTACCAGAAATAAAGTCAAGACTAAACTACAAAAGATGTTCATTTTGTCTAGAATTTGACCTAATTACATCTTTATCCTGTACAGAGAAAATTTGAAGATGATCTGAAGAGGATTTGGACAAAAGCTGGACTGAAGAAGGCTCCAGAGGGATGGAGTACACCTAAGATCTTCATTAAACAACATGGAAACAGAAGGCAGTGAGAAACACTGACAGTGGTTCGAGATTGTGTCGCATCCCACCCACTGGATGGCTCTGCACAACACACTTCACACACTGCAGTTAAAACAGTCAGCCTACTCTCTGTGTAACTGAAGCATGTGTCACTGATGAGGACATATTCTGTATGAGGATGGTATGTACTATTATTTTTAACAAAGTGTACATAATCTAATAAAGATTTTCTCTGTCAAACCCAAAGCATGGTGTGCTGTAGTTTTCTTTTGGTATTCTTTTAGCCTGATAGTAGTACAATAGAACACCTGACCTTTATCCTGTTCTCACTGTGGATGGCAGTATTGTGCAAAGTCTGAAAAAAGGTGAATTCACCCTGAAATTATCACTGTCAGGGGTCATTTTTATAGCACAACTAGAACAATAAGAGCATTGAAATGTAAGTCAGCATTTTAGATAAATTAAGCTGGCACAATAAAATCTCTTAATAGGCCACACAGTAAAATAATTTCCTCTGAGGACTTTAATCAAGAAACCAGACTTTCTAAAATCAAAACGGGGGGGGGGGACTTTCCAGAATCCTTATGGTTTACAATTTAAAGCAATTTAAAGCTTAAAGTTTCTCGACTGTTATATATAAACCTGTTTTACCTTGTGTATTACGCAGAAAAAATAATGTAAACAAATGTACAGTGTGATGTCTTCTGGCTATCTTGTTTCGCAGTTGTCTCGCATCTTGAATCCTACTGTAAGACCCCTAATGTGTGATCGATGGAAAGTTAAGTCCTATGTTTTGAGTTTTGACGGCGACCGGTGCAAAACTGTTTATTTAAACGATTGATTGCTCGGGGCAGTTTGCGTATGTATCTATATGTGCGTTTGTTATTGTTTTATCACTACATGTTTGTCGTGAAGAGAGCAACAGCGAAGGTGTTGGATTTCATCGTCTGGCGGAGGCGGAGCGTGTGAAGCCTCTGCACGGCAGCATTACAACAAAATACAGCTGAGCTGCCGCTCGGTGAACTTGAGGCATTTTGTCTTTTATCAATTGATGCGCACACCGCCTGTGACAGGCTTCCACCTCGGCTGTCAGCACTGTGAAAAAAGATGCACCTCGATATGATTCTCCTCCAGAGTAAGTTTTCTATTCATCTTGCTTTTAACAGAGAAAAATAACTTGAGGAAACTTTCTTTGTGCCATAATTGGATCCAGGTTAGAGTTACCCGTCGGGAACAAAAGCCGAAGACTGTCCAGGTCTCTGTTCTGCTCTGCTGCAAATATTTTCTCTTCACTTGAATTCAGTATTAGGCTACTTGATACGAATGTCTGCAATGTAAGCTTTAATGTTGACCCAACAATATTGTTTATTTTTTTAGTTGGTTTTAGTTGCAGTACCATTGTTAATTGTTAAAACCAGGAGTCCTGTTCCTTTTTTGTTTCTGTAATATTTATGCTTTTATTTGTTCATGTATTATTGACACAGTAAGAGTCTGCATGATGAGCTAATCGAAAATCATTTTCTATTTGTTTATTTCTTTGTATGGTATCTATTAACTGTTGATCCAACCGTCCACATACTGTTGTTTTATTATTATTATTATTAGTAGTAGTATTATTATTATTGTCATTGTTTATATTGTATTGGTACACTTTTTACTTTGACTGCTCTATCTATCTATCTATCTATCTATCTATCTATCTATCTATCTATCTATCTATCTATCTATCTATCTATCTATCTATCTATCTATCTATCTATCTAAATATCCATCCATCCATCTATCCATCCATCCTAATTTTAAACTCTATTTCCTGTGTAAGTACTGTGGCTCAAGATTGCAGTGTTTATTTTTTTTCGACAACTTTCACTCTGAAATATTCGGAGCATGGATAAGATATAAGATAGGCCTACATGGACTTGCAAGTGAAACGAATCAGTGCAGACAGCGATCGCTTCGCGGCTTTGACTTGCCCCGGCCTGTTGACATGGGGTACAGTGTGTATGTGGGATTTTTTTATGGCTTCAGCCCAATGTGTTTCTAGTTAACTGCGGTCTGAGTAGAGGAGTCAGCACAATCCAGCAGCCAGTCATTATATGTGTCAGTAATGAGTGTTTCACCACGAGTGGGCTGCTTTGAGTCCGGACGACGTGGAGGAGGGGGATTACCACTCCAACCATGTTTATGATGGGCTCTGTCTTAATTAACGGGCAACAACAACGTGGCATGGAAAAGAGGAAAACTGTTGTTTTGAAGAAAAATAAGATCATAGACATGTATCTACTCATTGGAGGCAAAACATAACAAGGTCACAGTAAAGTAACATGTTTGTGTTTTGGACAATTTCTGGACTTGTTGAGCCCACTGTGTTCAGCAGAATAGATTTCATAGAAGCTGGTTCCCACACACACTGCTCCCAGTATCTTGTTATGGAGTTGTCTTTACAGCTGCCACATCAAGCCATCATCAAACAAACATAAAGCATGAGAAAAAAAGAAAAAAAAAGGTCTATCACCCCTAAATGTTCTGAATTCAAATTCCCAGCCCAGGGACTGGGCCCTCCAGTGAGTGAGATAAATCTGTTTGGTCAGGAGATAAATAATGGGAAGAAAAGCAGAAAAACAAAATTCAGTTTGTTTTCATTTTTTTGACTTGTCTCTAATCTTTGCTTTTTTTGTGAGATATTAGGTCACTTCACCTCATTGTGCCTCGAAGAGTTATTTAAAAGAAACAATCTGAGATGTTTAAAGAGGAAACCAGTCTTTGGTGGAAGTGCTAACAACTCATAGCTGACAAGGGGTCCCAAGCAGACAATGCACTTTTGTAATTGGTCACTGGTTTAATCTTCAACAATGTGTTTTATTTTTTGAGGGTATCATGTTTTTTGTATGTTTAGTCTTAATCTGAAAAGTAAATAGTAACTGTAACTGTCACATAAGTGGGTTAGATGTATAAAGTAGGATAAAATGGAAATATTCATGTAAGTACAAGCACACAAATTGTGTAAATTACGTAGTTACTTTCTACCACTGTATAATGGTATAATATATACTTATGATGACTTTATGTGTACACATGAATAACTAAAAGTACCTGAAAATCTCAGCTGCCATTTACTAACACCACAGTGTACATACAGGACGGCCAACAGACTCTCCGGACCTCTGAATGTATCTTTGTATGTTTAGCTGAGTCTGCAACTGGACAGATTTATTTGATTTATTCTCATCCTGTGACGGAGCTGTGAGTAAACTTCACACACCCACAACACCCATGAATCACTGAAATTACGCTGAGTAAACTCATGCTTTACGTTTGAATCGTTCATATAAAACCTTCTTTTGTTTTACCTTGGGGATGGCACTCTGTTAAGTGATTCTCCGTGTGACTCCTGGGGTTACAAATGACAACGGTGATTTTGCAGGTCATTTGCTAAATGTCTGTTATTATCGCTGGTAATTCGATAGCACATTGTTAAGTCTTTAGTGTGAGTCACCAGCAGCCTGTGTGTGTCTGGAGGGGAGATGAGAGAAAATTACAGGGGCTGGGACACTTTGTTTTACCTTCTGCAGGAAAGTTTATACCCTTCAATAGAAAACCCACTAAAGTTTTCCAGCATGAGGCCTCCTCTATGATGCCAGTGTGCTGAAATCATTTCTCTCAGCTTGTAGTGTTATTATATACCGGTGCATACTTAAGAAATCACTGCATGCGCTGCGGGGTACAAATCACTGCATAAAAACACAGTAGCAGCTCTCCAGTGAATTATTATTTAAACGTGGTGAAATGAAACCTCTCTGCGTGCGTCTCCTGCCTGTGTTCACACCAAGTGAATCAAAAGTGAATCAAACATGTGCAGTCATGATGAGGAAAACAGCTGGATGGAAGGTCTTACAACCTGCATCAAACACATTTTGTGCAGCTTGCTCTTGGATGTTAGGCCATCAGTGTCAGTGATAAAATAGGCACTGTAGCATTTTTTTACTGTTTTTGTTGGCCAAGGTGGAGCTAATTTTACTACTTTATATACAGAGCTGTCAGTTAGATTCGTCTATAACAATACATCATACTTTATAAACCCATCATGTGTTTTGTAAGAAAAATCTTAATATGCCAAGAAACTGTAGCTATCAAGTGTAACCGGAAAAGAAAGAAGTGATATATTCCGCTGCATGTGAACTAAGTAAAAATGGCATAAAATAGAAATTCTCAGATTTGTATTTGGGTAAATGTGCTTTGCTACATTTAGGATATAGTGTTTTACTTACACTGGCTCCTAGTATGTTTTAGAATTGATTCTAAGATCTCATTAATTACTTTTAATGCTTTTCATGGCCTCATATCTTTGTATGCTTAGACCTCTTACATAGAACCACATGAGCCTGTGGATAGTTTGAGATCGTCAGGCACAGGTCTCTTAGCTGTCTCAGAGGCCTGGCTCAGAACTTGAGGGTGCAGAGTATTTACAGTCAGGGCCACGATGCTCTGGAATGACCTGCCTGAGGACAGCTGAGACAGCAACATCTTTTAAGACCCTCCTTGAAACATAAACATACTTTTACCAGAGAGCACATCTCGATTTCTGTTTAGTTTTGTTGTTTAAATATTTTACTTGAATTTTTTTTTTTTTATCATTTTATTTCCTTTAGCTTACATTGCTGGATTATATTGGATTTGGTTTTTATCTCTTATCTTTAGTGATTTTATCATTTGTTGATGCCTTGTGTGACACATTTTGTAACCTGGGATTTGAAAAGTGTTAATTAATCATGGCATTTTCAAATCTGTAAGATATTACTGCTATAAGATTTTTATTGTTCTCAATATATCCACACATTCAGTACATTAAAAAATAACACCACACTGAAGGATCTGCACCTCTGGCCTCTGTAGCTCACTGTTCCCATTACCAGTGCAGTAAAAATACAGGTGTCTGGTCATGTTCCTGGACTTTTGACACCAGGTAGTGTGACTGAAGTGAGCTGAATAGCAGCCCGGTTCTTCATCCCCTCAGGATCATGGCCTTGCAACAAGCCAGCAGCAGCCAGGATGAATAGAGTCTCTGTATGCTTTGGCTGTGTGCGTCTCCGCTGGCCTTTCAGTAAACAGACTATGAAATAGCACTGTGGGAAAAATGCATTAGAAATAGCAAATGCTGTGCAGGAAAATTTCCTATCTCTAGAGTGAGAAAACAGCAAACAAAATATATTTCCAGAGAATATTTTTGATACTGTGTATGTTTTTTCTGCTTTTGATGTCCTGTGTGGACCATGTCCTTGTTTCTTCAGTTTTCTGTTACTGTAAACAGTCCTCTCACTGAACCCACCTCTAGTCCAACTCTGAAATGTCTCTAATCTTTCACTGGTTGGGTCAGTCCAGGTCATATTGAAACTTTCCACCCACTTCAGCCATTTTTGCTGGCTTATCATTGTTTTTTTCTGTTTCAGTTGTTGCTGTGCTCTTCATGCCAGGAGGTAATACATTTTTATTTCTCTTAGCGCTGCCTTAATGATGACTGAATGTATTGTAACTTATGCTTTTGTGATGTCATTTCTACATTGATCTTCTGAGCACATGTGGTTATTTATTTGTGTCAGCATGGGGCCAGGGCAGCAGCACCAGTCTTGGTGTGGTAGTGGAGGCGAAGAACATCACCCTCCCTGCAGGGTCTAAGGCCGTTCTGCCCTGCCATAGCCCTCGCATGGTGTGGACCCAGGACAGACTGAAGGACCGCCAGAGAGTGGTGCACTGGGACTTGGTCCGCAGCAGCCCCGAGTATTCTGTAGAGCGAATCCTGGATATGTCCCCTGGAGCCCGCGAGAGGGTCTACAATGGATACAACAAAGGACGCATTTCCATCCCAGACTCTGCTTTCAATGATGGCAACTTCTCCCTCATCATCAACAGTGAGACTTTTATTATTCTCCAGAATCACCACCCACATTTCACCCTTGGATTTATAATTTCATCATTTCATCATTCATTCATTTCATCACATTGGTTTGGATGTTTTTCCTTTTCAGATGTGGTCATGACTGACAAAGGAGTTTACACTTGTAATCTCCACCATCATTACTGCCAGATTCATCAATCCATTCAAATCCAGCTCAATGTCACTAAGTCAGGTGAGGCCTCCTAATTGTACTGCCCAAAGTTATTCTATTAGTCGTGATGTATCACATACCATTGACGGCAATGTATTTCACACTCTTATGTTTCCAGCTCGGAAAGAGAAACGTTACTGGGATGGAGAGAAGACTGTATTCGTGGTCTTACTGGGCAGCTCAGTGGTATTGCCCTGCGTAAACCGGCGCCCTCTGTGGAGAGAGGGTCTCCAGGAGGACCAGCAGCAGGTGGCTCACTGGGACTTCCAGGCCCCTGGAGTGCGTCCTGATAGGGCTGACCGGCTAGTGGACCTCTATGCCTCTGGAGAGCGCCGGGATTATGGACCTCTCTTTGCCCAGAGCAAGATGAGCGTGGCTGAGGACGCTTTTACATTAGGGGACTTCTCACTGTCCGTCTCTGACTTGAAGCCCGTCAACAAGGGCCTGTACTCCTGCCACTTGCACCACCACTACTGCGGTCTGCATGAGAGACGCATCTTCAGGCTCACTGTGGGACCTCCGCTTCCATCTGCGCCCACAACAGCACCCAGAATTTTCCAGAATGATGAGCCAGAACCAAGTAAGCCACACAGAATTAAAAACAACAACAGACACCACCAGAACTTTGTTTTTCCAGACGCTAGTAAGGGTAAATGTTTTTCCCCATATGGTTTCCTGGCAGGATTGTGCATGAAGTGAGAACACTGCTCCTGGGTTTTTTCTTTTTTGTTATATTTATAGGCATAGTTGGTCAGTTAAATCAGTTCCTCTTCTTGCCAGTTCTTTCTCAGTCCTCTCTGTTTTTGTGTTTGAGCTGAAGAGTTAGGGAGGAGGTAGAAGGAATGTGGGAGCTAACCAAGAAAGAAAGAAAGAAAGCAAGAAAGAAAGAAAGAAAGAGACTGTTGACGTTGACTGTAAATTCACATTGCAAATTGAGAAGCAGGGTTTTTTGGATTCATCTATGTGCAGCTCCAACTTGAGATGCTGTCTACAGTAAACAGCTTTAAATTGGCTGCAGCGGAAGTGGTCTCATTTTCCTGGCCGACTTTTTTTCTTTTTTTTTTCATTTACAGCTGGAGACATTTTAACTACACTGAGCAGAGGAGTGGGCTCCAGCAGCCACTAATTCAGGCAGTGGATATATCTTGTTATTTCCTCCATTTGACCCCATTTTCAAAAAGACCCAACCACTTGTCTAGACTGGTTAGACTGTATCTCGGGTTTTGTTTATCCTTCTTTGCTCTCAGTTTCTGCTCTGTTTCTACTGCTGATGTGTATCAGCCTCTGGTTGAGGCCTGTTTACCAGCAGTCAAAGGAAGTCTGATACATCTGTTCAACATCTGGAGCAGCTGTGGCATGAAAGAGCAAAGTAAGGGGGAGGGAAGAAGGTATGTGTTAGACTATAGATCCTCCTCCCCCTTTAAAGAAATGACAGCCCATTTAATAACCGTTTAAAGTGTGTTGTAAAGAAATGCACATATGGATCGATGGCAGGTAGGAATTCACTTCTCCTTTGCACACCGCTGATCTTGTCTGTTAGATTAAGACCAAGTCGTTTGTGCTCACACAGGCGCCAGCGATCATCTTGAAATTACAAATGACACGAGAGCTTTCCACCCGATTGCCATAATTATTTACAGCAAGAACGAATACGACATTGTTTCTTTGTCACCGTCAGGGAGGCGTTTTGTGAGCTGTCAGCAGTTCAACAGAAATCTTTATCTTTGAGAACGAAGATGCATTCCCGAAGTTCATTGACTTGCAAATGATGCATATCCCGCAGGGAAAAAAAAGACAGTTTAACCTCTGTGCGGCATAAGTGAAATAACCGTTTACATGTGCACACTTGTCAGATCTGTCAAGAAAATGGAAATGGGCTACTGCTGGGACAACATGGCTGCAGCTCCGGTTGAGCTCTAGACACAATCACCTTGGACCTGTCTTTGCAGTTTCATGCATATTAGGTACATTAAACAATGACAGGCAATGATTACCAACCAAGTTCTCATTTAGGAAGGGGGTTAGGTTTATTTATTTATTTATTTATTTACTTATTTATTTATTTTTTCATGATTGGCTGGATTTGAAAGCATAGTCAGAGATGCTCCATTGCATGTTCTCCCTCAATAGTGTTTGATTGTAGTAGTGTCCAGCTTAACTGCTTAATCAGAGACCAGAGAGTAAATATTCAAGAGGAAAAGATTGGGAATTTTCCTGTGATCTGGCTTCTGTGATTAGGCTGCTTTTGAATTCAGGGAGACGCTGAAAGACTATAACAGCAACAGCTCTGTAAACATGCATCGAGTGGTTATTCTGCAAAAGTAGCCGTGGTACAGTTCACTGTGATTATAGTGGACATATAGAGCAGTTTGAAACTGATATGGTTTTGCATCTCCAAGTATCTCAGTATGTATTTTCTGTATTTGTCATTTTTTTAAATAAGTATTGTCAAGTATCTAGAAAATGTACACAAACAGTCTGGGTCTGGGTGCTGCCTGCAGTGAACTCAGATATTTACTCTGACTGGCCTGTCAGACTTTTTTTTTGAGTTTGCTGATGAGTTCTGCTGAAAGTGTCACAGATTTATTTTCCATGCATGCAGAAACTAGACTTCTGTGTTTGCGAGATGACGGCAAAAGTCCTAAATGGAAAACTAATACAGACACTCAGACAAACCACATTACAGAATTTGTCTCGTTCCTCACACTTCTCCTCCTCTTCTCTGGTCAGCCTGTGTTTTTCTGTGAAGAGAGAGAGAAAAAATAACAGCTGCATGACATCAGGTCTGGAAGTCATTATTGCCAAACGGCATTTTGACATTTAACTCCTGCCCTCCCTCCTTCTGTCTCTGGCTTCAGAACTCAAATGAAAAAGAGGAAGCCTCGTGGGGAATGAAAATGTTTAGTTATGTGGAAATGCATTTCAGTTTGATCCATGTTTATTGCCATTATATTAATCCACTGTAGCAAACCAATATATCCATGTTAAAATATGACCTCTCCACAGTACATCCCATTGTTACTGTATTTGAGTGTTTCTTGAGATCGCTTGTTATTTACGATGTGGAATATTTAGTGTTGGTAGGTGTTGTTTGATTGTTTCAATTTTCTGCCTTTAGGGACTGAGGAGGTGGAGAGTCCACGAGTGGTGAACGTCATCCTCCCCGAGCATCGAAGTTATTTTGTGCAGCATTTGGGCTACTTCCTGGCAACTTTCTTACTGCTGGCGTTCATCGTTGTCGCTGTCATTGTGCTGACACGACGACGCAAAAAGAGAGGTATTGTGTATGTGTGTTTGTTTGTGTGTGTGTGCATCCCATAAATCACCTAGTTCTTGGCTTGTATCTGACAACTTGCTTGCACTTTATAATTATAAAACGGCATATTCATTATGGTTGTTAGTGTAAGGGTCACATTTCATGGGCATGTGTTTGAGATTGTGTGTTCAATTTTTTTTTAAGGGCTGGAGTATGAGGTGCGGAGATATGAACGGTAAGACATTGCTATATTGTAAATTGAATACGATTTTTTCTATAAATTAAATCCAATTTTAACCAAAACCGTGTTCATTTTGTGCAGAGGAAGTGTGTACAGTGGAGGAGAAATGTCATTAGAGTGCACAGAGCTGAGGACCTGTAACCAAGAATCTCTGAATTCAGGTGCAGTAAACACACATGACCTACCTGTATAAAATAAAATGTATTTTCCTCTCTCATAACCCTTGTGTCTGCTACAATCCACAGAGTACAAAAACAACCTACTGAAAGAGAGAGATATGACCAAAGACTGCAATAAGGGTGAGCCGACATTCTTCAGTTAAATAGTAAACACGCTTCCAACAGTCAGTCAGTTACAGTCGCAGTGTAGCTTGAGATAAGAAATAGTATGTTTTATTGATACGATGTCCCTCTCCCACCTCGTCCTTCAGACTTTGATGGGAAGCTGTGGAAGTAAGTGCGATATTTCTGAGATGCTGCTGGCAGGTCCAGGGCAAACACCGGAAGAGTAAGGGACCATGGAGAAAAGGAGAAAAACAGGAGGAAACCCAGGAGAGGACAAGAGGAATACTCCCTCTGCTGTAATTCTAGCACACTAAGCTTTTTCACTAAAAGGCATCATCATTTTTTATGTGTTTTTTTTTTTATATATATCTTGCATTTTAACCAGCTGTTTGTAACAATAAGGTTAAGCATTTATTTGATCCTTACTCCTTTGCATTCATTGGTTGGTTTGTGTTGAATATTAGACTTTTTTATTATGCTTTTTTTAAAAATTTTAATTAAAGTGCATGCTGTTTATTAAAGTATGTTTTACATGTACTGTGCATGCTTACAGAACTGCAAGCTCACAGCTTTTCTTAATTGTTAAAATTTGATAACAGTATTTTTTTTTTGCACAAATTCTGCTGTACTTCAATTTGTAAAAGGTATTTCACCATGTTTCAAACTTAATTTACTGTATGTAGACAGTGTTTGGAAACAAGTAGAACACATTTTTAGCTATAGATGGCAAGAAATTTTACACACATCGTGGTACTTTTAATTTTTATATTTTTTTTTACAAAACTCTACTGTGGTGACAAAGTGACTAAATTTCAACTATTTTATGTATTTTAGAAATACTGTAATTCCCTCCCAATAGATCTATAGTCTCTTAGAATACAGGTGTTTAGTGATTTCAACTTATCGGCTGAAAAATAATGAAATTTTGCAACCATGGACTAAAGGCTCAGTCTAACAAAACTCAGGAAAAAAAACAACTTTTAACCATTTATTTGGTTTTTAATGGGCTGTGCAGTACTTGTTTGCATCAAGCATGTACAATGTATCCTGGTTTATAAAACACTGAACTTTCATGACTAAAACTGCTGGTTAATGATACATGTTGTTAAAAATCTTCTCAGCTCTGTGAGGCGTACTGCAGGAGGAAGTGTCTCAGTAATGCTAGATCACAAACTGCAGCTCTAGCCCCTTTCTTTCTCTCTCTGTCTCTCGCTCTCTGTCTTGCTCTCTTGCACACACTGTAATGTTGGTCTCTTCTAATAAAATAGTTCTTCTATTAAATATTCACAACAGCTGTCAGAGACTCATGAATCACTGTTTGTTCTAGTTGTTAGAGGGCGCCCCCCCCCAAACAAGAAACTATGATATGAACTTAGAATGTTACATAATAATCATATATATATATATATATATATATATAGTATATATATTATATAATATAATATATATATTATATATATATATATATATATATATTATATATATATGGAGAAAGACTTGAGGTAAGTATAACAATTGTATTGAAACAACAGAACAATGAGTGAGGCAGAGGAACAGTAAACTCTTGATTGAAAATAGTTTACATTGTGTTCCGAGGATCATAGTGTGTTTTTGTTAATGCAGTAGACACTGTAACTATACAGCAAGATTACCTAATGATTTATTGATTATCACTCTTGGCTGGGCTGATCGGTCACATCCACTAATAACGAAGCATTTACAATCCTATGATTGATTATTCTCTTACTGACTAAGCTCTAATTATTATCACCCTCACTGGTAATTAGAGACATATCTAATATTTAATATGCCCTTTAACTGCGGAAAACCCATTAGTCTATATAATCATCAGTTCAATCATGAGTTAGTGCAGCTTCTGCTTTTTTCTGGTTTTACTTCTCATTTTCATTTTATTGAATTTTTTGTTGTTAAATATTATTTTCTTTCATTATTTAATTCATGATATCATTTTATGCTATGGGATTTCATGGAATTTATGTTTTCATTTGGGTTATCACAACTAATTAGGAATTTGTCAAGGTACCAAAAATACATTTCAAACATTTTTTTTTTAATCTTTGGAATAATGTTTTAATTGTATATAATTGGATTGAACTAAATTAATATTGAGGTGAAGTGCTCCCTGACACAATAATATTTCGCGGTGGTGATTGCTATCAGTTAACAGAAGCTGATTATTACAAGAGGAAAGCAGAGGCAAGATCTCATACAGCCAGAGCACTTCCTCTTTGTTCTATGTTATGTCTGTACAGTACAGTGTAGCCTACGGTGTGAGTGTTTTATAAGATGGGCATACAGACCTGCGCACAGCCCAGACACACCACTAGATGACAGCACTGTCTAACCAATTAGCCTGTGAAAAATAGCAATAGCAATATTCCCAACTCCATATCGCAAGGATGTGGACTGTCCCTTCCTGTTTTAGTGCCGAGAGAGCCACCGTACCGACTCACACTGGAGCAGGAACACAGGCACTCATAACGCGATTATGTCTGGATTTTCGCTGTGTTTGTCAAAGACACGGAGCTTTATTTTCCACCGCGGGTTATACAGGTTTATGTATTAGGGAATGCTGTTATGTTATTCTACGGGTAACTGGTAACATAGCAGGCCCGTTCATTGCGCTGCCAACCCTTGTTCCTTTCCTGTGTCAATGATTGTCCTCCCCTTACTCTCATGGCGGAGACTAAAATAATATATCATATAGACGAGGAGGAGACTCCTTATCTGGTAAAACTGTCCGTTTCTCCAGAGAAAGTCACCTTAGCGGATTTTAAAAATGTCCTCAACAATCGACCGGTCAATAGCTACAAATTCTTCTTCAAATCGATGGACCAGGATTTTGGGTAAGTGGCCACCGTCGGCGATTATTATTAGCCTGTTCGTCTGGTTCACTGGCTATTTATTATTGCAGTGTGTGTTTAGACAGCTTATTACAGGCCGTAATAGGCAACATCAAACGATGCTGGCTGCAACCTTGTTACATGTGTGTGAAGTGTAGTGCCATGTCTGTGTCCATGCTCCTGGCACCTGCTCATTATTACAGGCTATCCTGTGCGCAGTGGAGGAGACACATGAGTGTTTGAAGTGATACCAGATCTGTCCAGAGCCCTAATGACGCAGCCCTGCATGCATTACACAGAGCCAGACCCCTGCTCCTCAGAGACGGTGTATTAACCCATAACAATGTCAGTATACTAACCAGGTGGAATATAAATGTCAGAGTAATGTTGACAAAGAGTCCACATGTTCATGTTCTCAGGTTTCATCTTGTTTTGTTTTGGTTTCCCTTTGCCTGGTTATTATAACGTGTGATTTTTCAGTGTGGACCATAAGAAACGACTATGTCAAAAAAATTATGATTTGATTTGTATCTGCTTATAACAGCCTGGAAAGTTGTCTTTCTTTAGAGACACATACAAATCCCAAGGGAATACAGCAACCACAAAGCCAGTGATTGTGACTATTAGATGAGCAATCATATAATCAGTGTTTGCATCTACAGTAATGGTCCCAGAGGAGAAGATCTGTCAAACAGTTACTACATCCTCATAACCTTGTTTATCTAGGTTTTCTATCAGTTAATTAATTATATGCTGTGTTATTACAGTGGCACTGATAATGAAGATTTTAAAAAAGAATGATGTAGTAGTAAATGTAGTTTAAATAAAACATGTTGAAAGGGCAGTCGTTTGACACCTCATCGCATCTCACAGTCCACTAGCTATTCAGTCATGTAAGACATGTAATGTACATATTGTAATTAATTGTGGTCAGGAGGGAGAGAAATGAAATGAGTGATTAAACCTACAGGCATAGTTTTACTGCTGATAAAGTTGTAGCTGCAGTTATTGAACCAGAACAGGAGAGTCTAATGATGCACAACATGTCGTGTAAAAGAAGGTTTTTTTGCACTAAAACGAAAATATTATTTCCCATGCTGAATTCTTCCCCAGAAAGTCATAGGAGCTTCCTCCGCTATCCACTGGATGCTGGACAAAATGAATAATAGAAATATTTCCTCCCTCTTTCTCTCCCTCTTTCCTCTTTCTCTCTGTTCCTCCCTTTGTAATCCCATCCTGGTTTTCAGGAGTAACACCAGGTTCCACAGAGCTCTTCAGCTCTCTTGGTCAGTGAGATCTACTTGTGTCAGGCCTCTGCTGAGAATGACATATTTGTGTCAGTGCCCGTTTCTCATTCCAATCTGAACAGTCATACATGGGCCCACGCGCATTAGTATCTAGCACTGTAATCGCAAACATGATTGGAGGAAATGCAGAGGCAGGCAGTGTCTATAGAGCCGAACGTCATACATTTCCACTGCAGCCTGACCTTGTGAGGGAAGCTGGCTCTTCCTGGTGGCAGGCTAGGCTTGGTTGCGCCGCTTTGTCCCCAGCCTCGGCTTCCTGCCTCTCTCTCGCACTGCAAGCCGGGCTGCTTGCTGGGCCTCAGGTGATCGACAAGCAGATTATGGAAACAAACAAAGCATGTTTGCTCTCACCACATGGAGACGTGGCTCCATGTTGCTGAACATGCCGCTACAGTAGGCCGACTGGCTCCTGCATGTGCATCAACAAAGCATGTTAAATTCACTTGTGAATTGGACATTGTCAAACGACTGCTCACACGGGGCTGTTATAGGCAGTTTATAAAAGCGTCTTCATGAGCGTTTCTGCCTTTGAGTTAAGGTTGACTATCCGGGCTCTGTGAGTGCCGTATGGTACTGGCACAGTATGGAAGCAAACCCAGTCAAAGGCACAGAGGATAGCAGTGCTTTGTGGTAGCCATGCTGGCTGTACTGCATACACACAGACAGTATGGCTGCTGGAGAATTAGCAAGGGAGGAATAAGACTGCTAAGCAGAGAGGGAAAACATCAAATCCCTTGCAGTTATAGACAGTGTTTGAAATGTAAATGAGCAGTCAGTGCAAGGTCCTCTGTAGTAGACCCCCTGCTGTGCAGGAAAAACCAGCCATTTTCTTATGGGATTTCTCAACTACATTTGTGCTGGCCATATCAGCTCTTTAAGCAATGGCCACACAAATTTGATAAACGGTGTGCCCCCAAAATGCCTCAGCTCACTGCAGTGAACATGCCGTTTCAGTTCCCTTTGGAATCAGTGTAACCGTGGGCTGTGGCATTTCCGTTCACACAACAGAGCACAGCAAATTAAACGATGACTGTTTCTTTGTGCACATTTCATACCTCACTTTTTTTTTTTTTCTAGTCATATTCATTCATTCATCAATATTCATAAGACAGGAAGCTAATTGAGGCTGGGTTGTTTTGAAGGAACCCACTTGGCTTTTCTTTTTTTTTTTTCCCGAGACTTCAAGGTGATGATATGGCATTTTGTCATTGCCACTGGTGGTGAGTGGGTTTGAGACCTCACTATAATGCAAGTCACAGAGGCACTCTGGAGCTGAGGAAGCAGCCAAGCTGAAGGTCTGAAAGAAACAGTCTTGTTTGTGCCTCAGAAAATAGGGGGCTGGTAGGGGGATCTTTCGTCTGCTGAGGAAGTGATGCCGAGCCCCTGTAGTTAGAGGACAAAAATCTGCAGCTTTTTTGCACAAATGCACTCATGCCTCACCTCACTTGTTTTTGCCATTTGAGGACTGTGACAGATTTGAAGGTTATACTGCACTCGGGTGTCATGGCATTAACAAAAATGCTCTTAGTGTGATAGTGACGATATAATATGTGTCTTGTAGTGACGTTATGGATGGAAAACAATAAAACATCTGAACTTTGTTGTTATGGTGCTGTGGAAACCACAGGGTTACAGTATTAAATGTACCATCAACAGCAGGTGTGCTATTTTAAAGTTTTTTCTAGACACAAAGTTGAATCAAGCTGTTTCCTGAGTCACAGTCTTTGTCTTATTGAAGTCTATCTTTTCACCATCTTAATCGACTACAAATATTTTGCTTCCCTGTTTATAGTATCATTAGCATCAGCCCACCAAAGTCCTTGGAGTGCTGGCCCGGTGTTAGCTGGCTTCTCCTGCCCCTGGTTTCTGGTTTTGGGCTGTAACTACCCTGCCCTCCTGTGTCTCTCACAGCATAAACAAACATGTCTAATCTTCCCCAGCTACACAAATATCCCCAGCAGTGGAATATTCAGCGATCACCAGGGTAAATCTTGTGTCATTATCCTGTGAAATCTGTTAAGACCTATTTAAGCTGTCAGCTCTAAGAAGTCAGATCTGTGACAGCAGCCCACACCAGACACATGCTCCTTTAGACAGGGCTTATGATTTGTTTGTGTGAGTGTGTGTGTGTGTGTGTGTGTGTGTGTGTGTGTGTGTGTGTGTGTGTGTGTGTTGTATTGTGTGTGGTGTGTTTGTTGTGTGTGTGTGTGTGTGTGTGTTTGTGTGTGTGTGTGTGTGTGTGTGTGTGTGCGCGCTTGGTAAGAGTTCAGGAGTGGTATGAACACTAACACTTTCCTGATATCAGATAGAAGCTGAAAAGAAAGCAGGCCAAGGGTATTTCACCGCATGTTAAAGACGTCATCTGTTATCATTGGATTTGTTTCTTGGTTCAGACAGAGATATGTTTAAGAGATTTATTTTGTAAAATACAGTCACACTGGCGAGCTGTGTGAGAGGAAGAGCCAGCCTTATTCCTGTCAAACATTAGGAAGAAGAAGCATTGCTGAGAGTTCACTCATACAGGCCACTCCCACATCCTCACAAGTCACCTTACAGCTGGTCAGCTTGAGAGAGAGGATGCAAACATTTCCTACCTAACACGCAGCCAGCAGAGTCAGCCCTCGCCTCCCTCCCTTTTCCTCCCTGAGGTGGAACAGGCCACAGCAGCAGACTCTGTGGTCGTCGGTTCCAGCCACAAGGCTACGTTATCTCCGTCCACCACTCCCTACAACACAGCTCCCACAGCAGCAGCACAACTAGCTTGGCTAATCATTTCAGTAGCAGGGAACTTCTGGCAAACAAGAGGTGGAAAAAGAAAGCTGTAAAGTCGCTGTCAGAGACACCCCTGCATAAAATCTTCTTAGGCTTTCCTGCTGCTCTCAAATCGTGCCTCTCCCTTTTCATGCACTGTGTTCAAAGCCAAGACGCTAATATGAGAGCTCCACAGAGTTTCCGAAATGCTCGCTTATACTGTTTCTGAGAAAATCCTTTGCGAAAAAACAAACAAACAACATACAATAAAGACATACAGGGAGTTATAATGAGAAAGCGGCATATACATCAAGACGTTTTAGCCCCATGAATGCATCGGTGTGTAAGGTGTTACCCAGCTCATCTCCTGCCCCTCAGCTAGCTTCAGGCTTGATCTATGTGACACGAGCCCTAGCAGGTGTGGTGACTGCTTGCCGCTGAACTGTGTCCCAGCAGGTCAAAGGGTAACTGGGAGGTATTTTTGTAGGGAATTTACAGCCAAAGATGAACACACCGAGGGAGGCTCACACACTAGATCACTCTATTAATACACGCTCCTGTGCCTTGACGCCCTGTTGTCGCAGCTATGAGGCTTTTACTACCCACACACAACACTCACACAGACACGTCTATCTATCTATCTATCTATCTATCTATCTATCTATCTATCTATCTATCTATCTATCTATTTGTCTGTCTATCTATCTGTCTGTCTGTCTGTCTGTCTGTGTGCAGTGGATCATTGTGAAACACCTGTGCAGGTTAACTATTGGAGCCATTCATTACAATTTAATGCCCCTATCTTTGCCAGGTTGAGTAGCCAGCCCCTATAACATTATTGTGCTTAGTGTAACCGGACAGACAGCCAAGATGTCCATAAATCACTGATAGAAACATCGCTGCTGCTCATTGAGCCTACCTGTACTAGCAAGGGTGCAAAGCTGGTTGAAAGCCATGTGGAAAATGTGACTTAGAAAGCACGAATGTCTCTCAGTATGTGTCACCTATGCAGGGAAGTGGAAGTGTCTCAAGGCTGTCCTGTGTTGTGTTGTTGAGCTGATTCTGTGTCCTTCTCCCGGTCAGTGAGACTGACTCTATCTGTCTGCCTGTTCCCCAGGGTTGTCAAAGAAGAGATTTCTGATGACAACGCCAAGCTGCCTTGCTTCAACGGGAGAGTGGTGTCCTGGGTAAGTGAGATGGATGGTGCACCCGTGATGCCCCTCTCTCTCTCTCTCTCTCTCTCTCTCTCTCTCTTTCTCTCCTGGCTGCTTGCCTGGCTGTGTGCAGCTTCAAGCTCTAACCAAAGATATGTGGAGCACTCATGGATCATGTAAATGTGTAACGCCTCCACAGAGCTTTTTAAACACTCTTCACCTTGAGCCCACTGTTCAGCTGCATTGTATAGGTGTGAGCGCTTCCATTTGATATTAAACTCAGCCACTGTTACAAAATACAACCAGAGGTGGTTGAGTTTAGCCACCTCTGGTTGAAATCATACCAGCTAGTTGTAAACTATCTGATGGAGATTACTGTATTGACTTGTGGAGATTTATAGTGCTTCGTATTACGGAAGATAAACAGTGCTCTGAGACCAAGTTTCCCTACTGGGACAATAAAGTATGTCAAATTAAATCAATCTGTCATGTTAGAGGAGCATTTACATCTTAATCATTGCTCTATCATAGCAGACAGAAACTCTGGTTTTACTGTAAATATTGATGATTAGTTTGACAGGCTGCTCATTTAATCTACTTTGGTGGCTTTTTGTCAACAATCTAGCAAATAAATATCATGCTTAATTGATTTCTGTGAGGAAAGTCATTACTTTGCTTGGCTTCCTCCACAGGGAGGTCACAGGTCAGAATCAGCCAAATAGCGGTGGCTATAGAGCTGTGAGGGACCGTCTTGTTCATTATCACTTAAGCATTGTCGATACCATCTAACAACAGGGCTTAAAGCCTGTCACTGTGCTGCACTGCTGCCCAGCAACCAGTTAGCCCAGATGTGCAGTATGCGTCTTTATGTTTCATTCACATTTGCTTTGCTCTATACACTACATCAGTGATTCACAAGTTGTTTTAAACCCTTTTAACAAAGAGATTTTTTTTTCATGGCGCCACCCTTTCATTACAGGTAATTTACAAAGATGTTGATGAATTTTAATTTTGCACATAATGTACCCAGTATATAATAATGTTTGATAATCTTATACAGGCATAATGTGATGTAGTTAGCATAAATGTGCTATTATATGATTCTGTGTGTATGGCTACTGTTTGGCTGCTTCACATAATATGAGGTTCTTGAAGAATACTTTCTAGAAAAGTATTTCCATTAGCAATACCCACTCTGGTACTAATTGATAGTGAATCCAACTGCAATGACAAATTTGTACATTGCTTGATCAGACATCTGACGGCTTGAAAGTTATTGCAAGTGTGAGTTATTACTTTACAAGTCTAAGCACGGAATAGTAGCATATTTAGTAACACAAACTTTTGATATGGTGATTTGGATATGTGCTGATATTTTTTTCCCATTTCTAAACAAATATAAAAATGTTAATACAAAAGTTGCCTAATTTTTCATGTGCTGAAACCTTATTAGAAAACTTACATTAATTAACAAACCATGTGGCATCCTTGGCCCAAGGTTTTTTTTTTTTGTTGCAGTAGGCAGTCCACAGCTCTACAGCGATAACTGGTCACATGTTACCTTCCATAAATTAGTCCAGTGAGCTCCACACATAGTTTTATAGAGAATTTAAATAATAAGAAATAGAGGGCAGTGGTATCAGATCAGGAATCAGTGTCAGAGAGAGAAAGTGGGATTGGTGCATCCTTAAAGTATGGGGCTATTTTTCTTTAATAGTACCATTAAACACAGAAAGAAGCAAAATTATTTATATAAAGCAGTTTTCCATAAATCAGGAGAACCAAGGGAGCGAAATTGACTCATTTTTAGTTGTTTGAGACAGAAAACCAGACGCAGACGGTGATGGAAACTGCAGAAATGCTTTCAGTCTTTGAGAAAGTAGCCAGCAGGGTTCATTTAAGAACCAAGTGACACCACAGTGACACCTGTGAATCTAAAGCTTGCATTAGAATAATCATATCCCATACAGTTGTTACTAGTTCCACAGCTGCCTGCTTTAACTTTCATTATTCTGGCTAAGATGAAAGGGGAGTAGCTGTATCTATGGGTCATTGTACATCATCCTTTGTACTGACACTCAACTGAGTAAAAGCAGTGTGGTCTTTTAAGTTTCTATGTCGCTGTGTTTCTCAAGTTGTTTATTCGGAGCCACCAGTCATCTCCATGCCTCTTTTCAGCGTCTCATTTCATAGTCTTTCCTCATGCATACTTGTACACAAGACGTGTCTGTCTCTGTGGTGCCAACATCGCTGTGTGTGTTTATCTTTGAGTGTCGCAGAGTCTGTTGAGGTTGTTTTTGATCTTCCCCCTCCACACCATGGGACCTATATCATTCAACTAAATATTTATTATTGTTTGTGTTTCTCTCAGAGCTGAATATGTCTGGTCCATAATGAATTTCCTTTTCTTCAACTTCTCTCTCGCAGTTGGTCCTGGCAGAGAGCGCCCATTCTGATGGAGGATCTCAGTGTACAGAGAGCCATCCAGAGCTGCCCCCTCCTCTTGAGAGAACAGGGGGCATCGGAGACTCGCGCCCCCCCTCCTTCCAGTAAGTAGGCTGATTACTGCTTGTCATATATGCACAATTACACACACATGCATGCATGTCGGCAGATGTATTCAAGCACACAATCCTTTGCACTGGGTGACCTTTTTATTTCACAGTATGCCATATGTGCTAACCAGAATGTGGATTGCTCATCGGGGAGGTTCATCATCAGGCTCGTATGGGAGGTGTAGGTGGTCTATACGCCCGTGTGTAAATATGGCATGTCCTAAAGCTCGAGAGTGGGAACAGGCAAGAGTGTGAGTGGTTTTCCCACTTGTGTGTATGTTCCCTGCCGTCCACTTAACCGTGGAGTTTGGCGTTAGTCCGCTCATCTATGTAAACATGATGCGTACGCCGCCAGTGCTGCTGATTCTTGAAATAGCCTTCACAGCATAAACATCCTCGGGCAAATCCTGGCACTCAGTGAGGCCAATTGTGTTCAGTCACTCAGAGCATTCATCCATACTTGCTTAATAAAGGCATATGTGGTTCAAAAAGACATTGCTGCCTAAAAGCTCAGAAATGGAGATTTTTTTTCTCCACAGCCTGATTATGGTTACCTGAGCCCAGAGCTTCAAACTGGCAGATTAGAGAATATCACTGCACTTGCTGAGGAGAAGTCCCACGCTAAATATAGCTGGAAGGGCTGGGGGGCAATGGGGGCGAGGGTTGTTGCCATTGCAGCGCTACAGCAATATGGCTGAGGCTCTATATTGAGAACAAGCAATCTGTCATGTCTCAGTGTATCTCTTTATCCAGTGTTTGACATCTCAGCTCGCTTTTGCCCTCTATGGGCTGCTCCCTGCTGTTTGGCTGTCAGCTGTCCTGATGATTTTATTGTTCCCAGCCAGCTTTCACCAGGATTACCGCCACCTTGTGGAGTGAAATGAAAGTGTGCCAGCACCCTTTACCCCCACGTCATCCCCTCCCCCCTCCCCCTGTCCCCTCCCTCACTCTCCCTTTCTGTTTCCCTCTTCCAGTCAGACTGGCAGGCCTTTCTCTCAGAGAAACAGCGTGGTGAATTCCCTATAGCGAACCTCCTCTCTTTCTGAAATGAATCCAGTCTTCCACCTTCTACCGCTCTCTGTAAATAGCTAGAATATTATTACCACTTCATTTTCTCTTTGTGCTTTATTCATGCATTTCATGTGTTTGTCAGCATGAATGGCTCTATTTGATGAGCACACAGAATAGGTGTTTTGGGCTGAGAATGGACGCAACTGATGTGCTTCTGCCTGGTAATCCGGATTAACGGACATTAAAAGCACCCATCTCCATTTCCCAAGAGGGAGGGGTTGTCGATTGGCAGCAGCGAGGGGAGGTAGTGGTGGGTGGGGGGTTTGGGTAGTGTGGGGTTGAAAGGGGGTGGCATTTGTTCACAGCTGCAGCCTAGCGCCTTGGATAATCTCCCCCCAGATCAGCAGACCTGCCGCCCGGCTGGTCAGCAGCCATTGACAGCATGACAGAGACGCAGTCACCACCACATCAATCATCACACTGCGTCCCAATCACTACCATTAGAAGTGCATCCGAAATATGCATCCTCAGTGATATTTGCATACATGCACTGACCTGTGCTGGTGAAGCCTGGCCCAGGTGCACCCATTAGTACCCCGCAACAGAAGCGTGTAAGCATGCCTCATTGACCATTTTATCCCGCTGAGTGAACACAGCAGACACAGCATCCTGTCTGCCGTTGTGTTTTTAATTTGCATTGATCATCCACACATTGCCACTGAGGTGTGCGAGAACATGTTTTTTTTTAAATACAGGATGATGTTTGTGTTTTATTCCTCTTTTGCTCTGTTTATGCACGTTGAACATGAAACTGTTTATATATGAGCACTGCCATTTGAGATTTGAGCGGGAGTGTGCATGAACGCATGAACGCAAGTGTGATTATTTATGCAGGTGTGAAGTACATGTTGCACACATGCCTAAGTGTGTGTGACAGACTGACAGGGGTGAGTAGATTTCTCACCAGCTTCAGGTTTCCTTGGTGCCTGGTGGCTGTGTAAGTCCCTTAACCTTGGTGCCCGAGGCCACAGCGTCTCCAGCCCCTCTGACAGAATAGCAATCTGCCCTCCAGCCCCTCCAGAACCCCCAGACTCCTCCCAGACCCCAAGCACACAGGCCGGCTTATTGCTCAGCCCACACCTGATCTGCCTCTTCTCGCTTTTTTTTATGCGATCTGTCATTCTCCCCTGTCTGTCTCTCTCCCAATCATCCTCCAGGCACCATCTGGGCTTTCAATAGGTCTCATTAATGCAAGTATTGTCCAGAACAGCTCCCTCTCAGGGTATCTGGTCATTAATGACACTTAGTGAAAAACACATCACATACCGCAGAACAATGAAACTCCTATTTTGGCCAGAGGGATTGAATTTGAAACAGTTATAATATGAGTTCCATTTTCCCCTAAGGCTGAATGGCAGGCGAACTGATATTATAGCAGACAGAAGTATTCTGTAGCAAGGGATTATGCTCAAGAGTGTTGGTCACAGGCTGGCTAGAGAATTAATATGAAAGACTTTCTGTGAGAGAGACAGTGAGTGTGTGTGTGTGTGTGTGTGTGTGTGTGTGTGTGTGTGTTTTGTACATCATTATGAATCTGACTTAAGTTTTCCGACGCGTGTGTTGCAGCGCCAACGCGGTGAGCAGTCGAGATGGCCTGGACACCGAGACGGGAACAGAGTCTCTCCTGAGCCACCGCAGAGAGAGAGAGAGAGAGCGCGCACGGAGGAGAGCTCGAGAGACCGAGCGTGAGTATTATCAGCCAGGAACAGATGGATCCTTAAAATGCAATTATCTTGTCATTTCCAAGTTATTACATTTCAGTGCATCTAACTTTCCGACTCAGCACACGTCACTCACCCCCTAAAAGCACATTTAAAAAAAAAAGAAGTGGACAGATAATAGACACGTATGAAAAAAGGCCCGCAGGGATCACATGGTGCGTGGTGAGCTTTAGCTGTGTCAGACCAAGAAACACACAGATATCCTAATTCTCAGAAAAGGAAAGAAAGCAAGAAATGAATAAGTTCACTGTGTGTCAGAGTTTATGGAATCCACTGTCTTGCCCAATAATTGTTCTTCTCTTTCCTGTCTGTGGCTCAGGTTTATGGTCAGAGGCTGTTTTCCACTTGGTAGCCACACTCCAATCTTGTACATGGATTATACCCTGTCAGAGGACACGAGTGTTTTGTGAAATATCAGAGGAGATTTTGTTTCAGCTATTGTTGAGATATAAATCCTGCCATTCGCAGTCTACCTGGAAAAGAAATTGTTAGGATCTTGGTTTTAAAAGCCCCTGAGAACTGTTATCAAGCGCAAACACATCTGCTTTGTTGTTCTGGCATTTGACTGAAGCAGTTTCTATTAAAATCACTTTGGTCAGAGGAGGACTGCTTTCTCCCTGATCCCTCAGAAGAACTGCTTCACAGGCTCTGTTTATTAATATGAAAGCCTGACAGGCAACGTTGCATGCCTGCACTGTCCACAGCAGAGAACAGGATATACTGGTGCTGCAGGAAAAGGTGTGTTTTGTTATCGGGATAATCAGACCTGCAATATTTTGAGATATCCGCCTCGTTCTATTCCTGTCCTCGCCACACAGAGATTTTGGCGAAATGAGTTGGTTTTATGGCAGGAAGTAATAAAGAAGCAGCCTCTGATGCTCGCAGTCTGCTGATGTTTGTACTCACAGCAAAGCCAGTTGTCTTTCTCTCTCTCTGTCTTCTCCTCCCCTCATCCTCTCTTCACAGCAAAGCCTGGCTCTTTGTATCTTGCGCTCCAGGCTCATTAACCAAATACTCATTAATTTATGTGGTGCAATTAGTATCACAGAGTGCAGCATCAGGTTGGGGTTATAGGAAGAGTAACTGTAACTGTCTTGCATGCTGGAAAACAGATTAACTTTATTCCAGCAGACTAACTGCATAATCACGTCCATTGATTTCCTCATGATCACACTCTTGGGACAGTGCTTTTTATTTTTACTTGGCTCGAAACATGCTGTTGGCGCTCGCCACATTCAGATCCACTGCTGCTAACTGCACATCTGCTGTTCTGTGGGTGATACGGAAATACCTCAAGTCTAATGAACTTTGCATCTGTCTGCCATCATCCTCCGTCTTCACTTACCTCAACACAAATAAGATGCTGTTACACAGATGACACAAAATAACGAATTTCTTAAGGATCGCCCCACGTAACCCTCTTCCTCTCGCTCTCTCTCATACACACACACACACACACACACACACACACACACACACACACACTTCCTTACCTTGCATCTCCTCGCCTGCTAGTTTGTTAGCTCTAATTAAATGAAACCATTGGGTGAAACTGGGTGTGTCCCTTGTGGTCTACCAGCAGTTTTGTGGCTCATAAATCTAGCAAAACCCAATGAAATGTAATTCAATTTGGTCTGGTGTTTGCTGTCACGATCACATGGCACTGGATGTAGAGACATATGAAGCAGGAGCCGGTGGCCCCGCCTCTTTACCTCACTGCCTGCAGCATAGGCAGCAGCAGGAATTCCCCTGTCACCTTATACACACGCTTCAAGTGATTCTGTCTCCGAGTGAATGCTGGCTGTTTCACAGTGATCAGTTAAAGTGCTCAACCCCTGGTAAACACATCCCTTGTTATTTTCTGTCTGCACTGCAGCGGTTGAGAATGAATGGATGAATAATGGAGCAGTTGAAAATTTTAGAAGGGTGAACAGGTGTAAGACCTTGAAGGCAGCATGGAGTTATGGGATATGATCTGTTTCGAGGCCGCAAGGTGCTGCGCATCTTAACCTGTTGTAAGACAAGACTCTAGTGTTGAGTTATTACACTGTAGCAGAGAACATATAATACCCCCCAAAAAAAACAAACAAAAAAAACATGCCACTGCATTAAGCATTATGCTGCTCAGTGCTGCTGGGATTTCAAGGTTGAGGTCAGAGAAGACATAGCTAAACCAGAGCACTTATGCTTGTGTTAAAGTATTAACACAAAACACACAGCTGGTGAACTTAAACTGTCCTTGGTTATGAAAAGTATCTTAAAATCAATTTCTGTGATGCGATGCTGCCGCTGCTGCTGCTGCTGCTGCTGAAAGTATTTGGCTTTTTAATAACCTGATGGTGTTTTCACCTGAGGCAAAGATGGGAGAGGATAGGACAGGACAGCGCATCATCTCAAATCCCATATTATCTCTCTCTGTTTTGGAGAATGCCATCATCTGATTGGTCAGAGGCAGATTACCAGTCATTCTATAGTTGCGTGCCATGGGAGGGAGGGAGCAGGCAATACTTTCTCCTGACTCTCTGCTCAGTTTCTCTGTGCATCGGATGAGAGCGCACTGTCGACCGTGGTGAGAGGGATTTGTTGTCTTATGTGCATTGATGGATTCTGACATTTGAATATGTTATATGATACAGGTGATATCATTTTGTGGTTCGTTTCCTGCAGGTCATTTTTTCTGTCATTCAAAGGTGACTGTTGAAAATAGCAGGGCTCTTGTTTTGCAGTGAGGAGACAGTTCTGTTTATCTGTTGTGAGCCTTTGTAGGGTGATGTTGTTTATGTAATGTTGAGAAATGATCAATTTGAATAGTTTCATCTGATGAGTGCATTGTCTGTTTATTTATTTCCTTTAAAATGTCACCCTTGAAAAGGTCATGAATACATTGTATATAAAGTTGCCCAGTTAGAGAAAGTGACTTTGCACTCACTTCTTGTTTTCGTACTTGCCGTTCTTCATAGACTATCTTTATACTTATTTCCTATTTTTGTCGCTGCCTCTATTGTAGATAAGCTGTGAAGCCTGTCAGCAGCCAGCCGGTGGGCAGAGACCGTCTGGGGCTCAGGCTGGGTTTGAGGGAACCACTAGCACAGACGGAGCAGAGCAACAAAGACGCAGATTTCAGTCTGACTTGGTGAACCTGCACACTTGTGTTTTTTTGTTTCGTCTGGTGGTGGCAGTCATCTGAGCGTGGGAGGAAATATGTTTGAGTGAATCCTCTCAGTGGATGTCATGTCCCTCTGCTGATTGAGTGCTTATGCGCTGTAGCTCAGCTTTCATAAGAGCACCGTCTGGGCGGAGCTAGAGATGGGAACGACCACATTGCTGGAATGTTTTGCTCGCTCTCGGCGAATACGCTGGCTGCCACGCCCTCTTCGCCTTATGAGACCTTTCCAGCCAATCCGCTGTTACCCTGAGACAGCACCACCTCACTGGAGATGTACGTATGGAGATAGACAATGCTGGGAATTTTGCTGCTGGGGACACAGCTTTGTCTTATCTTTCTGCTAGGAAGTGAACTGTTTACAGTAAGCCAGTGTATTGAAAATAAATCTCAAGTAGGTGAATACATTTTTCTATGACTATTTTGACCTTTTTAAAGCACTGACCCCACAACCAGAAATTGTTGATGATTTATGTCATTGCACCCACTCTTAATCTTCTCTAAAGTCTGATTGTCATCCCACTTCTGCTTTCAGTTCATATTTTCATTGATGACAAAATCTCCCATAGACGTCTTCCCTCCTTGTTGCTCTCTCTCTTTCCGATATGACCCTGCAATAAGCAACGTGACCTCCCGTCTGACTCACCGCTGCTCTGCTCTCTCTCTCTCCAGTCCCTCGCATCAACGGTCACTCTAAATCAGAGCGCACTGCAAGGGATTCAGCCATGGGTTATGACAGTGCCTCAGTAATGAGCAGCGAGCTGGAGTCCAGCTCATTTGTGGACAGTGAAGAAGACGAGGATGCCAGCAGGTAACATACTAACTACTACACGTCGTCATGCAGACTCTTAAATCAGCAGCTTTTGATTGTTTCTGACACTATAACAAAATCTCTGCAGATAAAAAAATCAAGCTAATTGTAGACACTGAAAAATGATGTTGTAAATGCAATTTGCAATTGAAAGAACATTCAACAGCACTGCAAACTTCTGCAAACAAAATAACAATTGAATTTTCACCTATATTTTGTCTACCTCCTGTACATCTACACAGACATTTGCTCTGTAAAAAAATTGTGCTTAACATATCAGGTCATTTTACCTTGTACCAGGTCATGTACTAATTATAAATTAACTTTTTTTTTACACACCCTGTCCATTCCATCCTCTCTTTGTCTCCCCTTTCTTCTCTTGTCTCCGTCTGTGTTTCAGGCTCAGTAGCTCCACGGAACAGAGCTCGTCTTCACAGCTGATGCGCAGACACAAGCGCCGGCGGCGGAGGCACAAAGTGGCCAAGATAGACCGGGTGAGCACCTCCAAGACACATCACTGTCCCTGCTGAAATTGAAATTGACGTTGAGTGTGAGAAACAGATGAGACAGCTGATTGATATAGACTTTCTGTCACTTTGACTACACTATGCTCCACTTATCGTATCCTCCTCCTGCTTTTCCAGTCTTCATCCTTCAGCAGTATCACAGACTCCACTATGAGCCTCAACATCATCACCGTCACACTCAACATGGGTATACCTGACACCTTCATCACTATAATGTTTATATCAAAATATAAAGATATATATGCATGACTATTATAATGTTTGTCAGACATGATACTGTGCTCTGAGTCATTCCCTGCTTTCTCCCTGACAGAGAAGTACAACTTCTTGGGCATCAGTATTGTTGGTCAGAGTAATGACCGGGGAGATGGCGGCATCTACATCGGCTCCATCATGAAGGGAGGAGCTGTGGCTGCTGACGGCAGAATAGAACCTGGAGACATGCTCCTCCAGGTACACAAGCAGATGTTTCCAATTTTACAAATTATCATCATGCATGTCGACGACAACACCTCTGCTGCTGCTGCTTTACGGTGTGAAAACTGAACATTACACACAGAGAGAACGCTGGGTTTCAATCTGAGGTTTTGTGGCCTATTAAAAACCAGTTCTGTTACTAGGCTGTTTTGTTAAAGTTGTAAGCCTGCCTCTCCTTTTCCTTCCTGTTGTTGCTTCTCTTTTTGATCTCTGCGCAGCAGCACTCTATGGCTCCACCAACTATAAAACACACGATGGCTAATTACAATTTGTTGACCAGCATTCATGGTATAGCTTTTATCATCAGTGGGTATCCCATAGAAAGTAGCTTAGGGTCTGCAGACATCTGAGCACTGCAGAGATTAATGTGTGCGCAGTACAAGTGGTTGAAACACACCTGCGTCCTCTGCAGAACTTCAAAGTAATGATTTAGTCATGAAAACACAATGTGTGATTAAGCCATGTAATTTGATATATTGAGTTAATTATATAATTTGTTGTCTGTCAACCAGGTGAATGACGTAAACTTTGAGAACATGAGCAATGACGACGCTGTGAGGATTCTCAGAGAGATTGTCTCCAAAACTGGGTAAGAGCTTTAAACTTAGCATCCGTGTTTATTCAACTCTCAGCTGCAGATCAGAACGAGATCATCTCGTCATCAGTCTTGAATCAGACAGGGTGTTTGTGGGTATTCAGATGATTTAATGAATTAAAGGAAATTGAGAAAAAGTCATGACTTTGAAATAAAAGCATGTCCCCACAGTTTATCCATCGTTGCCAAACTCTTTGTGACTTTTTGTAAAACGAGCCTAGTGACTTTGTGTTCAGCTTTCCTGTTGTGCTCTCCTGCTGGTTATACCAGTTTACAGCAAGCTTTAACAGTATGGTACTGTACACACTAACACTCTATGTATGAATATGCAGATTATCTTGTTGTGTCAACTAGTGTTGACCTTGTAAGTGATTTCCACTGACGGATTTCCACTCATGCATGAAATAGAAGAACTGATAAATGTCAGTCAGCAATTTCACACGTGACAGCTGTGTAGTACTGTGGTTAGGTAGATAATGTGCAGTAGATGGTGATTTCCTGTATGTTGCATTAGCTAAACCTAACTTATTTTCTATATTCCTCTCTAGTCCTATTAGTCTTACTGTTGCCAAATGTTGGGACCCGTCTCCACGAAGCTACTTCACCATCCCTCGTGGTAAGACAAACACGAGTGCTACTTTGTGATCACATGGATACATATCTACCAGATCAAACTTATTTTTATTACAAGTGGAGGACGATTAAACTGTGTCATTTTTTAGCGGAACCCGTGAGACCGATTGACCCTGCAGCCTGGATTTCACACACCACTGCCCTGACAGGACCTTATCCACACTACGGTAAAACTAACCAACCGCTGGAGTCACACACTGTGAAACATCCTTTCTCTAGTAACTATGATAACCTTACAACATTTAAAGAGTTCAAAAGTTCTGCTTGTCAGTGTTTTCTCAAAACCCTTCTCCCATCTCCCAGAATTTGATGACTTGCCTCTGTCTGCAAGTAAAACAGACATGGCCACCATCGTCAAGGTGATGCAGTTGCCTGACTCTGGCCTAGAGATCCGAGACAGGATGTGGTTGAAGATCACCATTGCCAATGCTGTGATTGGTGAGAAAAGCTGAGCTGTGTGGGCATGTGCAAAACCTTGTTTCTTGTAGACAAAGTTTTTTTTAAAAACTAGTTTACTGTAAGTTGTGTGCATGCTGCACTGAACATTGGTGCTGTGTACGAACAGCAATGCCCCAGTTACTCTTTAAAATTAACACCCCCCCAAAAAAAAACGAAGGAATTCATAGGTCTATTGGCAGTTCCTAAAGAGCACAAAGTTAAAATACAAATGTTAAATGTTAAAACAGAAATTATGGAAAATAATTAAATCTGTAATCACATACCAGCTCTTTATTATTCCTAAGTACAATAAGAGGTATCAGCCTAAATCTTTCTTTTTATTTCCAATCAATTTGAACTCTTTCAAGCAAGTTTCAGTTGTTTTTTTTAACCACAAAATCTTAAGTCTGAGGACTGAAAAGTATCCTGCACAGTTTTGACATTAACTCCACTAACTTTCTAACTAAAGTTCTTGCAACATTGTGCTGCTTGTCTGACTTGTAGCCACTGTGGTCACTGTGGTTGTGCATATCACGAGTATTTTTAGCATCTGTTCAACACATTAGAGCAGGAGCCTACATGTCGTTGTTGGTCTTGGTGCGTCTGGCTGTGTGTGGTGTGTGTGTGTGTGTGTTTGTGTGTGTGTGTGTGTGTGTGTGTGTGTGTGTGTGTGTGTTTGTTGCTGTGTCAGGTGCTGACGTGGTGGACTGGCTTTACTCCAGAGTAGAAGGATTCAAGGACCGGCGGGATGCGAGGAAGTATGCAAGCAGTCTGCTGAAACATGGCTACCTGAGACACACCGTCAACAAGATCACCTTCTCCGAACAGTGCTACTATACCTTTGGGGACCTCTGCCAAAGTACAGCCTCTTTCACTCTCAGTGTGTCAATAATGCATCTCTATGTGCCTGTGAATAGACGGATTGTGCTAAACCTTTCCCTCTCTGGTTCTGTTTTCTCTCCAATAAGACATGGCATCACTCAATTTAAATGAGGGATCCAGCGGTGGAGGCTCTGAGCAGGACACTTTGGCACCGCTCCCTCCCACCAGCAACCCCTGGCCCCTGGGCGGGCAGCCATTCCCCTACCCTCCCTTTCCCTCCGCACCCCCCAGCTTCCCGCCAGGATACTCAGACCCATGCCACAGTTTCCACAGCGGGAGCGCAGGCAGCCAGCACAGCGAGGGTGAGCAATGAGAAGGAGGGGCAAGACGGGCCTTTGAGTTTTCCATCAGCCTTTCATTAATTAATGTGATAATTTGACTCAACATGCAACATGACATTATCCCTAATCTTAGTACTCCTGACATATGACGTCAGTGTTAACAAATGTCTGACCAATGCTAATGTTAGCTCTTCTGGCTCTCTGGGCAGGAAGTTGACATTGGATTGCATTTTTTTCTTAATTATATATGTGTATTCTAAAACACGTCCTGTATTGTCAAGGTCAATCATGAGCATCTTGAGTCACGCAGCGGACAGCTCTGCAGTACTGGGTGTGTACTCAAAAAAAGAAAAAAAAAATCTGATCAACCATGTGATTACAAACCGCCAGCTTGAAATGATCAACGCCGAGTCCATCCCTCTCCATCAGTTCTCGAATGATCTTTTGTTTCCATTGTTGAATCAAAACGTGATAGTGCTTTGTGTGGCTGCTGCATGGTTTTTTAAATGTGCATTGAGGGAGAGTGGAGAACAAGAGGGGTTTTCAATGGGTGGCTGTTGATAGTGTGGCAGTAGTGTACATTTGAAACCAGCCAGTCCAGACAGATAATGGTAAGTTTCATGTTACCATGTATCAGTCTGATTTTCATGGTCTTGAGTGATTCATCCAGACATCGTCATGTCTCACTTTCAGCTGGTTGTCATTCTTTCAGTTGTTTTTATCTGCAACCTTTGGAAGGACAGAGATGACAAATTAAAGTTGTAGTTTTCTTTCTTTTGGCACTTCCAAACAAGGTTTTGTGGGTAATGATGTGGCTGCCTGCTCGTTTGAATGTATGCATGTGTGCATTTTTGAGGGGCAGTTTCTCCACAACTTCAAACATTTTTTTTAGTTGGGTGACAAAGAACAGTGACCAGTGACTGTAATAAAGTCATGAGCTTATGGGCCAGATGTAGAGGGGTACGTTAGATAGTGTGGGAAGGGCTGGGCCGGGAGGTGTGTGTAATTCTGTTGTTCCCTCTGTTTCTGCTGGGCAACGGTAGACTGAAGGAGGAGGTAGTCCCAGGACACTGGGGGAACCGGTAAGCCTGCTAACCCCCTCTCCTCCTCTGCTGCTCTGTCTCACCATTGATCCTCTCGACTCTTATCCTATCCCTCTCTCTTTCTCCTGTGCTCAACATTCTCCACCTATCATACTGTAGCTTTAAGGTTTTTTTTTTATTTATTTTTCCTCCGCCCGTCCCATGCGTCTTCCTTCGTCCGTTTGTATCCTGTGTGTGACTCTCCTGACAGTCCATTCTCCCTATCTGCACCTCTGGGCATGTGTTTGTACTGTGCTGGGAGGTGCATGATGCAGGATGATCACTCTACTCCAAGGCTTGTGCTATCATTCCCACTGACAGGGGGCGATCATGCACCAACTTACCCAGTACTGTTGGGCTCATTGCGGAAGGGGGAGGTGTGGAATGTTTGATTTTGCAACAGTGTGGTACACCTCTATCAGTATGACGCTGCCATTGTGCACCAGCACTAGGACGTGACACTAACATACATTTAAGACAACGACAATGTGACTGTAATAAGTCCCTTTAAGAAATCAGTTCTACTGTTCTGTATCATCCACAAAGTGTTCTGTAGCAGTGTCTTTCTGATGCAGGTGTATCGTGTTTATATTTCTAATCTGTGAATGTTTCAGTATTTGTATGAGCATCAGATGAAGCCCCTGGAATTAGTTGCTGCAGGTGGAAGTTGGGGAAGAAACCTTTGAGATAATCATGTTTTCTTGCTAGACTGCTTAAGAAATAACAAGTCACACCTTAAACAAAGTGCAGCAATGTATTTAATAACATAACATAAATTGATCAAATCTTTCACCTAATAACATGCTGTCTGATGGATGATGTCTGTAGCAGTTCATGAAGGCTTCATTAAGCTTTTACAATATATTTTGCTTAATGTGTGACTTTCTGCCTCCTTGCGAATCAGTAGCAAAACCAGCTGATTCTGAATCAGCTGTAGCTGATGAGTTGGAGCTGCTGACTGTGTATTTTTGTTAAGTGTTCTGTTGAAGACTAAGCTAAAATTTTGTTGTTTTTTTTCTCCTCTCAACAGGAAGCCGAAGCAGTGGATCTAACCCCAGTGCAGGCAAAGGTAGACGCTCCTCCCCACAGGAGAAGGGTCAAAGGTCAACATGCAGCGAATCAGAGCCCGGCATCCGTGGAGGGAGGCGCGGTGATCGGTCCGCTAGCCAAATGAGCCATCACAGCCACGCCGTCTCCAGTCACAGTCACGCCCGATCAAGTCTCAGTCACAGTCAGTCACACAGGAGCCACTCGCTCTCACAGAACAGCCACCCCTCCTTCACCTACAGCCACGCCCCGTTCACCCAGCCAGGGCCAGGCTCCTGTGCCCAGAGCGAGCGAAGCCATGCCTCCTCCTACGGCCCCCCAGGCTTGCCTCCTCCTTATTGTCTGGCACGTCTGGCCCCCAAGACCTCAGTCAGCAGCAGCACGCCCCCTGGAGCCCCTCCTGGGAGAGAGTTAGCAGCCGTTCCTCCCGAGCTCACCGCCAGTCGCCAGTCCTTCCAGCATGCTATGGGCAATCCCTGTGAGTTCTTTGTTGACATCATGTGACAGGACAGTGCCTTTAAAACTCATGGAGCACAAAATAATTCTCCCTGAACCCACATACCCCCTTCTCTCTTTCCTCTCAATCTTTTGCCTCTAACTGTCTCTAAGTTCAGAATGTAGACACTGACTGGCCCTCTACCCACCCCCTGCTATCTGTCTATCTCTCTGATGTTCACGCAATGGACTACAGGCAGCAAGAGCACAACAGGAGGGAGTCCTCTCACACTTACAAACACGGGTCCTCTGTGGCTGAAAACCCTCTTTTGTATTGACGTGACGTGTACAGTTTGTGAAACGTGAGTGGTATTCAGTGTGGTGATTCTTTAAAGCTGCTGCGCAGACATTCTCTTGGGAGTGTGTACTCTACGTAGGATCATTTCTGTTCTGCAAGACCTTTAAGCTGGCTGGGCCTGGATCTCAATCCCCCAGACCCAGACCGACACCTACAGCCCGCACTTAGGAACTTTTTTTCTGGGCCTAGAACTTGGACTGGATCTCCTGACTCATATGTGTGCATACTGAAAAAAATTAGCTCATTACACCAAACCTCTGGCCCCATTTCCTTTACGCTGTGGCACAGCCACCAGCTTACCTGCCAACTACTTAAAATTGACCATGATCAGTTCACAAACCGTGGATTTCTTCAACTTCATAAGGGAGGCCCTGTAGCCAGCCAGTAGTTAAACTAGGCTGCATATTGCATGACTGTCTCAACTGCTTTAAAGAAAAGAAATTTTATTAATACATTTCGTTTAAAGTATTACCATTATTTGGGGGAGGGGATACCTCTTACCAATGGTCTAAAGGAAGAATCCGTACACTGGATGATTTTTGTGATGTTATTTATGTGATCATGTTGCATTAATGGTGTCATACTTTGTCTACTACGGCTGACTAACAGACAATCAGACATCACCCTTTGTGAATCAGTGGCCAGTTTCAACTGTCCTCGCTGTGCTTTGTCGAATGTATCATTATTCCTGTCAGTGATTAGGCCCTGACACTCATAACACTTTGGTTTAAACACTTTTAACGTAATCAGATCAACTTACAAACAGGATTGCAAACAGTGCACACCCACCACAGCAGTGGACGCAAACTCACAGGGTTGACATGAGATAAACCACTTTGCTGAAAGCGTAATTGTCATCACCTTATTCGCAAGTGTGAGCTTAGATAAAAGTCAGTGCGATAAAAGCCAAAGCCTCACGTTGTGTGGTGGATATTTAGAAACTGTCTGAGATGTAAATCTCTGTCTATGATTTTCATCAGAAACTTCTCATTTTACAACTTCAAAGTGACTTCAAGGGGAATCCTGGCCTTCACATTCTGATATCCTTATGAAACAATGGCAAACCCCTGTTGTATCTACCTAGAATATAGTTACAAGAGGGAAATAACATGCACACACACACACACAAACACACACTAGATTTATGAGCACTTTTGTCATTTTGTCTCTCCCTCCCTTTAGTATGAAACACTGTTTGCAATCAAAGCTTTCTCTTTAATTTTGTTTCTTTTCAAAAGAAGAATAAATTGTACATAGAAATTTATTATATATATGAATAAAAATATATATGTTCAAAATGTTGTCGCATTTTCCATGATAATCCCCTGTAATGTTTTATTAATTGACATGTCTTACACTAAAATATTTTTTTCTTTTTTAGCAGGGCCACTAGATGGAGACATCCAGTTTCTAAATAACTCAAGTTTTATATGTAAAATGTATTTTTGAAATGGCTGCAGTCAGTAATTGCCTAATTTAATGAGGCATAATCATTTGAAATGTTTGAAGCATCCAAGTAGGTGGCCATTTCTCAAGACTGATGAGCAGTCATTGAGTAGGTGGTCATGATCTTGAAGTCTAGAAGACTATAAAAATTACAGATCAACTTAAAAGGTTCAATATCACCATAACACCAAATGTGTCAACTGCTCTTGCACATCATTGGCTTTGACGCTTAACAGTTAACACCCCTGAGTGGAACTTCCGAGCATCAGCAGTGCAGCGTGTACTTTCCCTGTGGGCTGATGTTAACTCTCTACAGGCTCAACTGCATACTCAACCCCATACAGACCCCCGGTCTGCTTGACCCACCAACCACAGAGGTTTAACGACTATTGTTTGAGAGTCCCTGAAAGTGACGTCCCACTCCCCCACATAAGAGGACGTATTGTGAGACATTTGTCAGGAAGGAAGTGATGTCAAAGCTTCAGAGTGACGCCCTCGTCTGCGGAGGCAGATTAAAAAGTACCATAGGAAAGAAGCTGCCCCCGGAGCTGATCACCTGCACCTGACATTCACAACACAGAGCATGAGGCAAAGCGAAAACATGTTCTGCCAGATTGACACCAACTTCTGTCACAACTGACATAGTTGCAGTTTGAGTATGACTGAGGCTGATGTCAGCCTACATGCAAATAAACACACACTCATTTACCAGCAGAATGAATGAGATCACTACACTACTTACCGAGCAACTCAAAAGTACTTCCCAAGTCAGTATGTTAATTGAGCTATTGGGGTTTACAATGCTTCTGAATTTTTAGGGGGAGGTTGAAGCAAGGGTGTAAGTTTGGTCTCAACATTGGTAATGATGCAGCAACCCTCCAAAAAAAGAGAATGACTTTTTAATGCTGTCAAAGGAATGGTTTATTAACATATAAGTTGTGAATTTACATTCATAAAAGCCTGTAAGCGAATGTAATATATGTACACGTGTTAAATTTCCGTATATGAAATATATGTACATATAAAGTAAAATCATATATGTATATACAACATAACCTATATATGTAAAATTCATATATGAAACCTGTAAGAAATTGGAACAATATCATATCTTGACAAATATAAGCTAATAGAAATATGTATTTTAGTATGTTTGCTTCTATTAAAGTTTTATATTATAAATATATGTTCCATAAATATATATCCATCCCAAAGCCTGTCAGTATATGTTCATTATATATAAATGGATAGAAAAATATAAAATATATAAAAAATAAATAGAAAAGATTGACATAATAAGTCATAAAAACATCATAGTATAGTAAGGCATGAAAATGTCAGTATAGTAAGGAAAAAAAAAGTCATAGTATAGTGATGCTTCAAACTGTCATTGTACAGTAAGGCATAAAAATGTTATAGTATAGTAAGGCATAAAAAAGTCATAGTATAGTAAGGCATAAAAACGTCATGGTATAGTAAGGCATAAAAAGTCATAATAATCATTTTATAGTAAGACATAAAATTTTATAAAAACGTCATAGTATGGTAAGGCATAAAAAAGGTCATAGTATAGTAAAGCAGGAAAAGTTCTAATAATGTCACAGTATAGCAAGGCAAAAAAGCATAGTGAGGCATAAGAAGTCATGAAAATGAAAAAGTATAGTAAGGCCTAAAAAGTCATAAAAAACGACATGGTATAATAAGGCATAAAAAGTCATAAAATGTCACAGAATAGTAAGGCATAAAAAAGGCATATAAACGACATAGTATAGTAAGGCATAATAAGTAATAATAACATCAGATTATATATCCAAGTACATTGATTGGAGGAGGGACATTCCATTAGTGCTGATACATATTGTAATAGCACTGGCACTTTTAACTACATATATCATTCAGCGACACAGGTTGTCCATTAACTGTTAATTAGCGTTAGATTGTTAGATTGTAACAAACTTTATATCTACAAATAACATTTGAATTGAAATAATGTCTGGTCATCAGAAGAGGATGAAGGGAAGAGGCCTGGATACTTGTGAGCATTCCAAAGTAGCAAGCTAGTGTGCACTGTGCCGGTAAGGAAAATGTTGTATTACTTTGCATCAGTTGTGTTTGCTTAGCCAAATAAATGATAAAATGAACAAACAAATCATAATCTTTGTTGCTTATTTAACTAATATGGAGCTCGTAGAAGTTTTTCTATAAAAGCAATATCACACTCGAGGCCGTGATGTTGTACGGAATATCAGCATGGCCATGATTTTCTTCGGTACTCGGCCTGCGGCGTCGTACTATGACGGAATCACAGCCGTGCTGATTCTCAGTACAAGTCAATCCCTCTTGAGTGATATTGCGTAAGTAAGTCAGAAAAAGGTCATAGTAACGTCATTGTATGGTGAGGCATCAAAACTAATAAAATCATTATAGTGTAGTAATGCATGAGAAAACAGAAGAGAACGTAAAAGTATAGTGTGACATAAAAAGTCATAGAAAGGTCATAGTATAGTAAGGCATAAAAACATGATAGTATAGTGTGGCTGAAAAGGCATAAAAACGTCACAGTATAGTAATGCATGAAAACGACATAGTATAGTAAGGCATAAAAAGTGATAGGATAGTAAGGCATGAAAACATCAAAAAACTTCATGGTATGTTAAGGCATAAAAATGTCAAAAAACGACATAGTATAGTAATGCATGAAACATCATAGTGTATTAAGGCATAAAAATGTCAAAGACTTCATAGTAAAGTAAAGCATAAAAAGTCGTAAAAACGTCATAGTATAGTAAGGTATAAAAATGTCAAATAAACATCATAGTATATTAAGGCATAAAAACTGATATATACATCAATGTATGGCAAGGCATAAGATGAAATAATACTATTAGACATAAAAAATGGCATAAAAATGCTAAAAAAAAAATGGCATAGTGTAATAAGGCATAAAATTGACAAGAAACGAAATACTATATTAAGGCATAAAAGGTCATAAAAACGTCACAGTATGGTTAGGCATCAAATGACATAGTAAAGTAAGGCATAAGGCATCAAATGACAAGGCATAGTAAGGCATAAAAATGCCAAAAAACATGTAAGTATACTATGGCATAAAAATGTCATAAAACGTCATAGAATATTGAGGCATAAAAGGTCATAAAAACGTCACAGTATGGTTAGGCATCAAATGACATAGTAAAGTAAGGCATAAGGCATCAAATGACAAGGCATAGTAAGGCATAAAAATGCCAAAAAAAGTATAGTATGGCATAAATCATCAAAAATACATCATAGTAAATTAAGGCATAAAAAATAATTTAAACATAACAGTATGGTAAGGCATGAGACGAAATAATATAATTACACAGAAAAAAGCCAAAAAAACGGAATAGTGTAGTATGGCATGAAACGTCAAAAATTCATTCAATTCATAATATATTAAGGCATAAAAAGTTATATGAATGTCCTAGTATGGCAAGGCATGAAACAAAATAATAAAATCAGGCATAAAAATGCCAAAAGACGTCATGGTACAATGTGGCGTGAAAATGAAGAAAAAAGTTATATGATAGTAAAGCACATAACTGGAAATTGAACCAATGACCTTCTGAGTGTGAGGTAGCGATTCTAACCTTTGTACTGTCCCATCACAAACTTCTTGTATTGCATGCTATAAAAGTGTCATAGTATAGTAAGGTGTAAAATTGCCAAGAAACGCATTACTTTATTAAGGCATAAAAGGTCATAATAACGTCATAGTATGGTCAGGCATCAAATCAGATAGTATAGTAAGGCATAAAAATGCAAAAAAAGGTCATAGTATAGTATGGCATAAAACGTCAAAAATACATCATAGTATATTAAGGCATAAAAGGTCATAAAAATGTCACAGTATGGTCAGGCATCTAATGACATAGTAAAGTAAGGCATAAAAATGCAAAAAAACGTCTAACTAAAGTATGGTATAAAAATGCCAAAAAATGTCATAGTATAGTATGGCATAAAACGTCAAAAATCCATCATAGTATATTAAGGCATAAAAGGTCATAAAAACGTCATACTATGGCCATGCATCAAATCAGATAGTATAGTAGGGCATAAAAATGCCAAAAAACGTCATACCTATAGTATGGCATAAAACGTCAAAAATACATCATAGTATATTAAGGCATAAAAGCTCTTAAAAATGTCACAGTATGGTCAGGCATCAAATGAGATAGTATAGTAAGGCATAAAAATGTCAAAAGATGTCGAAATATAGTATGACAGAAAAATGCCAAAAAACGTCATAGTATAGTGTGGCATAAAACGTCAAATATCCATCATATGGGGCATCATGTGGCGTAGTGGTCTAAGCATCGGACAACTTTTGCTGCATCTCATTCCCCCTCTCTCTGCCTCCCCATTTCCTGTCTCTCTTTACTGCACTATCAATAAAGGCATAAAAAGCCCAAAAAAATATACTTTAAAAAAAAAAAAATCCATCATAGAATATTAAGGCATAAAAGGTCATAAAAACGTTATAGTATGGTCAGGCATCAAATTAGATAGTATAGTAAGGCATAAAAAAGCAAAAAAACATCTAACTATATAATGGTATAAAAATGCCAAAAAACGTCATAGTATAGTATGGCATAAAACGTCAAAAATCCATCATAGAATATTAAGACATAAAAGGTCATAAAAACGTCATAGTAAGGTCAGGCATCAAATCCGTTAGTATAGTAAGGCATAAAAATGCCAAAAAACGCTTTTGCTGCATCTCATTCCCCCTCTCTCTGCCTCCCCATTTCCTGTCT